GCCATTTTTACATATCGAATAATTTCTACTTTAGATTGTTTTTGTATGTACGTTTTTTTATGTTAAGTGGGTATGTCGACAGAAAAGATCGACAACAAATGAGTTGAAGCTCGAGCTTACGGTGTAACGGTAGTGCTTGACAAGCTGCTAGCTGTCAGTAGTCTCACTCTCAACACTGGACTGAGTACTGAGACTCTCAGTACTCAGTCGCCCGCCAACTACGGTGGGGTGAGGGATACGCTCCGTTGCCTACAATTTTTATTCAGCTCTAAGAGAGGTGCCTTGCTAAGGGAAAATAAATTTGGAGCGAAATTGGAATTTGCAGACTAACTGTACTGCATTGTGGTGAAAAAAAATGATACAACATAGTAGTGACATATCCTTACACTTGATCTGGATATTATGAACCTGAATCCATAACATAATTAAGAAAGGATAATAAAACATATGTAACAATTAAAATGCTTTAAACTATTGTGAATTGTGTATCAGAAAATATACTCGTAATCTTCAGAATCAACCCAGTAAAGGAAAGTTCCGGAATTTATCAGTGGTTATAAAACTTTATTTTTATATCCCATAATAAGATCGCCGGCTTGTATCCAGTCCTTAGCGTCTCATTTATCCGTCATGTGAACATGATAACTCTTAAAGGAATGGACGGATGTCTATGTGACCGTCAACATGTCTTTGTGGCAGTCAACAGATGCCAGCTTAAATTTGGCAATACTAAATTAATTAGAATTGGGAAGGTAATGAACGTGAAAGAACATAATACTAATGGTATGTCGGTTGCGTAAAGCACATAATGTACAGCAGGGATAAACGTTTTTCAGTGACAAGTCGCGGAAATTTTGACATTTTCTAGCGATGCGTGGATCTTACAGCGGTTAGAGCCTGGTGTGGGGATTACAATACTCCGTAGGCACTATAGAATGTCTACCTAGTAGGCCTTTGAAGTTTATATATAGGGCCAATTGCAAGAACGGTTATGGGGTGTACGACGCCATTTACGATGACCTTCTTGCCCTGATCTTTAATACGTGGAATTCTGCACTTTTCGAAGCTTTGGAGGAGTCTCGAAACAAGTTTCCTGGTGGGAATTATTAGCTAGTGCTGTACTCAAAATATCGAAACTTCGAGATCTCTCCAGAGCTTCAAAAGGGTGGTATTCCTGAAACAAGATCAAGGCAAGAAGGTCATCGTAAACGGCGTCGTACACCCAACGACTGTTCTTGCAATTGGCTCGACAAGCCTCTATCTGACCAAGTGTTCGTGTGTGGCTTACTGTGCCCATTTATGGGGTAATATTCGCTGTGTGAGAGCCTCAGGCGGCCAGTGCGTAAGAACGTTCCTGTGACTACTCTGTCCAACCCAAAATAGAGGTATGTCACGATATGATAGTGCAAGTTTATGTGGTATGCCAAAATTAGCATCGGTATTTGTACTGTGGAGGCATACTAAAGATTCTGTTTGTATTACAGTTAGACAGGGAGTAAGACAAGGCTGTGTTCTATTGCCAACATTTTATACTATACTGTATATTCAGAATTCTTAATGAGAGAAGTTATAAGTGATACTAAATGACTAAAAGTTAACGGTAAAGCAATAGCAAAGAATACGCTATGCAGATGGCACTGCTCTTATCACAGATAGTGAAGAGGCATTACAAAACTCGTTAACAGATTAGTGGAAAAGGGTGAAATATACTATATAGTTCAAAAGTTTATGCTGTAAAGACGAAAGTAATGGTTGGCAACAAGGAACTTAAACAAGTGGAATTTTTGGGTGTACAGGGATTTGGAAAGTAACTAGCTGTGATGGCAGGTGTACGGAAGAAATAAAAACACAGTAAGGCTAGAAAAAAGCATTTAATAATCTAAAAGACCAAATGAAAAGGAACATTAACTTCAATTTGAGAAAAGAGCTGCTGAAAGGCTTTATATAACAAAGACTTGTACGGGTCAGATGCGTGCAAACATTCAGTAGACACCAGAAAGAGGTTGGAGGCCTTTGAAATATGGTGCGACAGGCGAATGCTAAGAATAAGCTACACACAGGAAAGCAAACGAAGAAGTATTAAGATTAGCAAAAACTTCAAGAGAAATACTCGAAATGTACAAAAAAATTTAAATTAGATACTTTGGTCATATAATTAGGGATGAGGGGATAATAACAAATAGAAGTGGACCAAGTTGAGGTGAGGGTAGGGGGACCAGGGGAAGGCAGAGACTGGAATGGATGAATTAAATAAAAAAGGGGTCCCCAGAGAGACAACAAAATCTTAGAGAACTGGTAAAAAAAAAAAAAGCCCGAGAACGTTAAGAGAGAAGGATTGTGGTCTCCAACCCTCAGGTATGAGTATTGTACATTACTCTGATTGATATAAATGTCTAGCAAAGTGATAGGGAGCTAGGCTTTACAGTCTTTCGAACCTGAAGGTGGTTACTGCTACTATTCTATATTTACTGTATGTATTTCATTGACGCCAGCTGTTTGAATTATAGACACAAAAAAATAGCACTACCAATAATTACTACACACAAATTCATATCTGTATTGTGATTGTAAAGAAATAGCCTACAATGGCATTTCCACTCAATGAAGCACTGTATCAAGTCTTCAGGGGAAGGTGCTATGTTATATTCAGGTGCTGTACTTTGGTGGGGTGATACTGAATATCATAACTAATAAAGTGACTCATTTGATCGGTAAATATATACCCAAGACCAAACCCAGTGCCTCTAGGAATACGAGGGGATCCCTACACATGAACCACGCGGAGGTCGACAGAGTTAAGAAGAAAACCCAGAAATTCAAGACGTGGGTTGGGTCAAACGATGAGCAGCACAAGAGGATGTATGCAAGAGCCAGAAACCAAGCAAAGATAGAGTGTAGAAGGGCTAAACAGGAGTTCCAATGGCTGGTTGCAAGCGAGGTCAAGTCAAACCCAAAGGCGTTTTACCACTATACAAAGTCGAAATTAAAAACGCGAGTAGGAGTATCAGACCTGAGGCTTGAAGATGGTAGTTACGCAGATTCTGACCAGGATAAAGCAGAGGCATTGAACAGCTTCTTTTCCTCGGTGTTCACAAGAAAGGATGCAATTACCTTCCTGCGTTTGAGGACAGACGGTTCGACACAGCACTGACCCACATTGTCTTCACAGAAGAGGGTGTAAGAAATAAACTGTCCAGGCTAAAGGTCCATGAGAGTCCCGGCCCTGACATAGTGCATCCTAGAGTGCTAAGAGAGTTGTGCAACGAGCTTGCCGAGCCCCTGAAGATCCTGAAGATAACCGTTATTTCCCTTTTCCGTGTGATTTTATCAAGATATATATATATATATATATATATATATATATATATATATATATATATATATATATATATATATATATATATATATATATATATATATATATATATATAATGACACTAGTCAAACCCATACAGTAAATGACAATACATAACTTACTACATGTAAGCTTACATATATATTTAAACTAAGACTGTAATAATGTACGGTATTTGACACCGACTCAGGTACCCTGACTAAAATATTCAATAGAAACGATGACGTGCTGCTACTGTTCATGCTGTTATTGGAAATACAAGAAGAGCAGCCGGAGTTGGTGCGTATTGGGTTACAGAAGCAGCTCTTGGTATAGGAGGAACCGCCAAAACAGCCATAGAAAGTGTGATTCCTACGGTTTGTTTCCCGCAGTGGTTCTCCTCTTCATCATCGTCTCTCCCACTTCTGCTGCCAGCTCTCCCTCAGGTAAATTATAAAACGAGGTTAAAGGACCTTTGTAGTTGACAGCCAGCAATTTAAATTGAAGCGTCCTTTACTAAATGATTAACTAAATAAATAATTGACTGACTATTTACTAGCTGATTGGTTCACTAGTCAACTAGTTAACTAACTTACTTAAAGCCTTTCCTAGTCCTGGAAGTACCGGTTGGATCAATAAGTCAAAGTTCAAGGTCCGCTTGGAGACGACACCAATCGGCACTGTAAACGCTACTGCGCTTCACCTTGCACAGGATGTAAGGGGGTGCCCAATAAACTAGCCCCCTCCGGGGTAATCTGTAATCGGCGTGAGTGGTACAGCTGCGGAAATGTGTTACTACCACCCCCTGTGGTAACCCAGGTCACCAAACGGTCAACCTATATGACCTATAGCAAACCTATTCACCAATCACGTCCGTTGTTACACGACCAATACCCATTCATTCATAAATAGTGATACTACTACTGAAACGTTGCCATTTAGAGACACGGGTTACCACAGGGGGAGAAGGAACACGTTTCCACAACTGTACCACCTGGCTTGAGTGGCACCTCCTGGCTTGAGTGGCACCTCCTGGCTTGAGTGGCACCACCTGGCTTGAGTGGCACCACCTGGCTTTGGCTCCACCTGGATTGGGTATTGCCTCCCTCGAGCACGGTTTAAGGCTTTCCTCTCACTTTAGGGATTGATTGACGGATACTTAATGCTAAATTTATTTATTTTATACTTCATACACTGTGTAAAGTCAGAATGGAAATGGTTAATGTGCTTTATTATGATTGTATTTGTGTGTGTGTGTGTGTGATGAACCGCAGTATTAATAATGAATTACAGGTAAAAAAGTGAGCGTCCATCAGTGCATGTGAGTCACCATCACCTCATTCTCTATTGTGTTGTTGGGACTTTAATCGATTTGTCTGCCTTGTGAATGAGTTGTTTACATGTTACTGATGTATTAATTTTATGACTGAATTACTATTGTTATTGATATGTTTGCACTGTAGCTGACCTGTTAACTTTGAGTTGTTTACATTTTTACAGCAATCTTTATGATATGGCTGAGCTTTTTACATTGTGACATGACATTGATTGTATTCTAGTTGTTTACATTATTAGAACATTGTTTATATCATGGCTGAACTATTTATTTATATTTTGACTCGGAGTGTTGTTGCCGTTGTTGACAGTGTTGTTTGTGTACGAGGAGTGTGACAGTGTGGCCAATATCGTCAAAGACATCACCTATAACGCCTCCATCTCCCTCCCTTGTGGCTCCTCCTCCATCACACAACTCCCCGACATATCACCAACTTCTCTTCCCCGGGTCGTGGTCGTCATGGCAACTTGTGATATCATCAACGTGGTGGCGGCTGCCATGGGAGGAGAAAACATTCGGTTACGGGAAGTGCAGCTTCTGCCCGTGCCCACCCTCACCCCCAGGTGTCACGTTCCTCTGTCAGCGGGGTTCTGTACCTCCTTCAACGTGGACCCCTTCAGACAGGTACTGGACTTGATGTTCTCCTGGATGATTTACCACTCGTGGACGCAGCTCACCATCCTTTACGACCAGTCACTCAACATCATGGCTAACATCGCTATAGGTAAGTCCTTTCAAAGTTTATATTCTATCTGTCCCAGAGATGTTTTATCATTAGATTATCTGAATTATTTATGTTTAACCATAACAGAATATGTTTGAGGTCCAACATGAGCAGTGTCAAAACATCAAAGGCCAACTCTGATATGGGTACTATTATGTTTTATCAAAAAAAATCTTGCAAGGATCAATGTTGAGTCACAATAATACTTGACTCAGTTTATTATTTAACAATAAAACCTAAAATTATGTATTGTTATTACGTCCTAACACGACGTAAAACTTATACTTACTACCACAGTCGTTGTATAACTTTACAGTGAAGAGCTTCCTGGTTACCAACAAACGTCTGGGGGCTCGGTTATCCTTCAAGGAGGTCCCCGCCCAGCTAGCGACCTCTTCGGCCTCAAGGAACCAACTGGAGACCGCGTTGAAAGAGCTGCTGGAGGCCTGGGGGGAGGAGGAGGCGCGCCACTTAGCTCTGATAGGCGACAAGTCTACGATAATCCACGTCCTCAGGATGGTAAGTCATCCCTGGTCTCTCTCTTTCTCTCTCTACTACCACTACTGCGTCCAGGTACTTTACATTACGGTACAATTAATATTATGAAGATCTCGGTGAAATGTGTTTAATTCTTCAACAACCTCCAGAGAAGTACTGTACAATACGTCAGTTTTGGTTGGACGGATGGCAGTGGGCAACCAAAATGTTGGCAGTGTCGGCAGAACGAAATTATTACCAATGATAATAATTACCAGAATCTAATTATTTCTTTACTGAAACAATGTCTGTTAGTTTCCACAAATCCTTCAAAGATAGATAATTTTTGTTTTCATAATTTAGAGCACTGAGTTAACAGATGATGTACAGTAGCTAAAACAACTATCTGTGCAGGTGGAGGTCGATATGCTCCGAAATTTTGCGTGCGACTAGTGACAGCCAAAATATACCAAAATTTATCGTCTATGTTCTCATACTATTTCCCACAAAGTATGCACAGATAGTTGTTTTAGCTACTGTACAAACAACTGGACAGGGTAAAATACAATACCTGCATGTAACTACTGTATAGCAGAAAACATGAGACAACCTTATTAATTTTTATTATGCCACCTTTCTACACACACACACACACACAAACACACATACATCTATATGCATATATTAATTAACAGTATCCTACAGATCCCCAACCTTGAAGATGACGATAGCAACTCTGATTGGTTGATCTTTACGTCAACGAACGATGACGTCTCCAAGGAATATATCCCAGCCAATGGCCACCGCGTTTACTTCGTTAATAGGTCGCTACACGCGGTAAGTCCAAATCATAAACGCACACAGTACTTCTCAAAGACTAATCGGTGAAGGCCCCTAAATGTCTATGCTCAGACTATCCCAATATTTGGATTTTAGTGTATTCCATTTTCTTATGTTTCTCCCTACAAAGCCAAATCGTGACTGGCGCTTTATTTGTAACAGATAAAAAATGACAAAGTGGTGACGAAATCGCACTGAAGCCTAACAGTACGCAGATGTGTTCGCTTTCCCTGTATTGGTATAAAAGAAACACGAGTCTTTGAACATCTGGAGCAAATGATCTGGATCACGTTAAATCATGTACTAACGTAAGCTTAGCTGAAATGCTAATATGGATTTGTTTCATTATTATATTTGCATGTATGTATCTGAAAAAAATCCACATCATAAGCAGCAGCCTACGAACAACATACCAATGTGTTCCAGGGACTGCGAGAGGATGTAAGGACAGCATTGCGAGTGGGCGAAGCTGTAGCAAGGGGCGTGGCTACTTGTTGGAACACCACCTCAATTAAGGTAAAGAAATAATTTGAACTATTAGGATACAGATATAATTTTAAAAAGTGTATACTAATTGAAGTAATTTACAATGAGACAATAATCAGTGATACAGTTTTAGTTGTATGTAGTGAATATTAAAGACAGTAATAATTGATACAAGCTATTCCACGAGTTAGTTATATGCCCAGTGCTAGCTAATCAAAGCAGTAAATGCTAATGATGCCCAATGAAGGTTCCTGGGTGGATAGTGGGGAGGGTCTCCGGGGAGAGGAATTGAAAAAACAAAAAATCAAGCGACACTAAATTGTAAATCGTATATTAATTAATCCCTCTATGGTTAGATTTTGAACTTTACATAAATCAGTGTGGTACAAGTTAGTACAACTGCAGATCTGAGGCATCCACAGAAAATGGCAAACTGTAGCCGTTCTTTGCAATAATCACGTTGAGATTTCGCCAAATAGCTGTGAGTGATGTATCATTTGTAACATTGATACTCGTAGCAGTGATAGTAGTGGTGATATTATTTTCATTCATAAGAGCAGTACAGTAGTGGTATAATCATTATAATATTACTAGAAGTAGAATAGGGATAGTATTCTTCTTCTTCTTCTTCTTCTTCTTCTTCTTCTTTTTCTTCTTTTTCTTCTTTTTCTTCTTTCTTCTTTTCTTCTTTTTCTTCTTTTTCTTCTTTTCCTTCTTCTTTTTCTTCTTCTTTTTCTTCTTCTTTTTCTTCTTCTTTTTCCTTTTCTTTTTCCTTTTCTTTTTCCTTTTCTTTTTCCTTTTCTTCTTCTTTTTCTTCTTCTTTTTCTTCTTCTTTTTCTTCTTCTTTTTCTTCTTCTTTTTCTTCTTCTTTTTCTTCTTCTTCTTCTTTTTCTTCTTCTTTTTCTTCTTCCTCTTCCTCTTCCTTTTTCTTTTTCTTTTTCTTCTTCAGTAAACAGTGGAGGGATGCATAACGCTCTGTCTTCCACTGTGAGTCGGCAGATTTGGAGAACATGAATATTACTTTCGAATAGAGTGAAAGTAAATATAAAACTACATTATGAGGTTAATAATACAGAAACTCCTCTCTTGTTGTAGCTTCGTCTCTTATGGATGAGTATGTCGAGTTGAAATGTTTAATTTTGTAAATACACATCTAACTTTTTAGCCAAAAAATAATTTTAAGAGACGGTGCAATATCATAACTAAACATTTAACATTATTACAATACCAGCGTAATGTTGGACGAGAGAACAAAATAAGTGTAAGAAACAAATGACTCAAAACAGAGAACAGCTTACAACATATGCAAAGCCTTTTTGCCTCTTGCTGTGGAGGAAGATCTAACATCTTCAGGGGTACCATTACTAGTGACAGGGAAGGAAGATCCTAACTTAACCTAACCTAACTTAAATTAATCTAACCTACCCTAATCCCCTCAGGTAACAATTGGGGTTTAACCATCAGGTGAAATAAGCTGGGGGGCTAATATTCACGTGATCCAAAAAGAGTCGGCCTTTATATTGCTTATCTCAAATTTCAGTAACAGTGATCATTTCTACTAAAAAAAATTCGAAAAACTAAACCTGGCATATAAACATGCCAGAGTGGAAAATAACCCATTGCCTAACCTAACCCCGTATTGTGAATAGCCTTGGCCTCTCGAACTTGCTTTTACGTCCATAACATGAATACATTGACGAAAATAGCTTTTTGTTCAGAGTAATAAGCTACACTACACGTATTAGTTAATGTGTCCTGATCACTAGGGATAAAGTGTTCTCGTTATCATTAGATACGAGTAAAGTGAACAATGGTGGAAAAAGCTCATAAATCTGGTTGTCATTAGCAGGCAAGTGGCAATGTTGTTGGGAAATTCACTCAATACATCGTATGCCTGGCACCATGGATTTTAGAGAAGGTCTGCAACATTTCGTTGCAAATATCAATGTGTGCCTCCCTATTGGTTGTTTGCAAGTCCATTACCGTGAGTGGAGTAATAGGTGTGCGTGATGATAATACTGTTTATACAAATTTTTGTGGTCCTACATCTCCATTTTCATTCCAGTTTGTCATCATTGTTATTTTATAAGAGATTGATTCTGAAGTATCATTACACTCATTTTATATCAGAGCCAGGAACTGGCTGAAGTATAGCCTGGCACACCTTCGGGTAGAAACCCCAGGACCTCCGACGTTATTAGCTGGAACTGATTGACTCGAACTCTAGTTGACCCTCCTGCCACTTAATGAAAAAAGAAAGGAGTTGTATCTGGAAGACAAATGTTGCCACTAAAAGCCGAAGGTCAAGAGCCTAACATAAGAGCTTCTAGATCTTGTTCTGGTACGACTGTAAAGCGTCATTTCGCAGGTCAAGCCTCCAGCTCATCCCAACACGAACACCTATGTGGGATTTATATTAATAAGACTTCTTTTCTGTACACCAGGAGATCGTGGAGACACCGGTGACCATCTACATGAAGCCTCCGAACTACAGTGCCATGTTGATACCCCCTGTGGAAGTGCCTGGCCCTTCCCAGACTCGCCTCGTACCCCTTTACACCTGGTCCCCATCTTCCTCCTCCACCTCCTCCCCCCACTTGTTCTCCGGCAGGTTTAAGGCACTTCCCTCTTATGACCAATACCAACTACACGGCGCACACCTCTATGTGGCCACTCTCCGGGTTAGTGCTGTTTGTTTACTCCTCCTCTGTGTTAGTTCTCTATTGTTAGTACTTTACTGTGCACTACACTTCTCTACCTCCAAATGGCCACACTCACTGTTAATATCTTTTTTGCTACATTCACTACCTCACTATACACGAACACGCTAATGGGCTAGGAATGCGCGAAATAAATAATAATGATGAATAAAACAAAACCGAGTATATTCATATTATAGTTGCCAGCAACGACGATATCTGACAAAGTACTTGAATAATTATTATTATTATTACTATTATTATTATTATTATTATTATTATTATTATTATTATTATTATTATTCAATTTTGAAGGTTTGCAATGCGTTTCTTATTATTAGCAGTTTATAGCTTATATATAGTCTGTATATAGTATCTGTATTTCGTGACAAAAACTAAAGACTATATAAGATAGTCTTAGATAAAAACTGAGGTTCGGGTATATATTTTAAAAGTCCAATTTGGCAGAAATGGAGCGTATGTGATATTTATTAATTTGAAGTATACATGAATAAAAAAATGATGAAGTGATATCGAACTTATGGATGTGTTTGGGTGTTTGTTTGTTTGGGTGTGCTATATCAACAACAAGACACTATGGGTGGCTTAAGCCTATCGGGGGATATGTTGTGACAGCTCCTATAAATCCAGATTTGACGTTCTTGACAAACAAGCCCATTACTACCCAACAGTGTGTAACAGAGAATTGATCGACCGACCGAGACCGGCTAGAAAGTTGATTATATTATTGGCGAAAGTGATAAAGTTAAGAACGTGTGTAATGAAACGTTTATCACCCACAGCGGTTCAATGGTGGGGGCGTATCATTCATTACTTGAGAAGGAAGATTTTAAGAACTTGGTGCTTGTTATTGAACTCAGTAAAGTAATTCCGTTTTTACAAGCCTGTGAAAAGCGTTTTAATGTGTTCAAGAGACTGAATGAATCCAGACTGGTGGTGAATTTTGTCAGTGGATGTTAAGTAAGTTGATGTATACTTCTGTTGAGTAGTTAAGTAAATATGAATGGTTGCTGTGTTTAAATTATATTAGATCATCACTGCCTCACAAACAGTTGATATGTTTTTTTAGTTTCTTCAGCTCCTGGGGTGTGAAAATTATTTCTTCTGTAGTAAAAGTGTACAGTTGATTTGACAGATAGATAGATAAATAGATAGATAGATAGATATGAAATTAAATCTTCAAATACAGTGATTCATCGTATATATATATATATATATATATATATATATATATATATATATATATATATATATATATATATATATATATATATATATATATATATATATATATATATATAGACAGTACAGGTATGCAAACAAAGTACATAGGTATGCAAACAATGGTAAACCGCAAATCGATTCGACTATACAATAGGTCAACAACACCGTCACTTGCCTGTAGCTTCTTGTGCCGTATAGTGAGTTAGTATTGTCCTCTCACTCAGAAGTTCAGTGTATCCTATTATGCACTTACGATGTTTCACGGCAAAGGGTTCAATATTTTACCGTCTTGGTATTTCGTTCGATGAGATTTTGTCTGGTGGGATTTTGTCCAATAGGATTTTGTCCGATGGGATTTTGCCACTGTTATAATATTTTGTTCATTGGGATTTTTTTAGTAGATTAATATCAGATGGGATTTTGGTGAGCGGGAATGTGTTCGGTGAGATTATCTGTCCGGTGGGATAATGTCCAGTTGGGGTTTTGTCCATGCACTTCATATGACATTTCCCCACCCATCACGAAGTTACTGGAATACCCCCCCTACGTCAGTGAGATTGGACACACATATTCATCATGATTACGTTGGCACAATGACTGAGACGGACACGTTCCCACAAATCAATGTTATTTCCTCAAAGGGCATTTTTTAGCGGACAGCCGCAAATACTTCATAGTGGACAGCTTTTTACGGATCACTCCTTGTATATGTCACAGACACATTTTCTTTGACAGTTTCATAAGTATTTCACAAGGGCCAAGGAAATTGTTCTAAAGATTGGCGTAAATGCTAGATTATAAGCTATGATATTCAGAAGATTAAACTCCTGACGTCGAGCATATAGTGATAATATTTTACGTGTCTATCAATCTGCCAAATCTCTCTCTCTCTCTCTCTCTCTCTCTCTCTCTCTCTCTCTCTCTCTCTCTCTTCTGCTACCGTCTGCCATTATATTCTCTCTCCCTGTAAGTTAGTCTGCCATTTATTTCCCGCTGTGTCGCTGTGTCAATACTGGGAGCATTAGGTCTCATTCAGAAACTATTGGGTAATGACATTCTGTTCTACCACAAGTTTTCTGACATAATCACACGGGGATTATCAATACTGTAGACAAGAGCTGTGTGTCAGGGTAATGGTATAGAATTAGGCATAGCTACAGTATATAAATCATAGTATGGGAGTTATAACAGAAATCACTAACAGGAGACACGATTTACATAATTTTCCTTTAGTTTCTCACGGTCTCTCACAAGTGTCTCTCACCGTCTCTCACTTTTGTCTCATCGTCTCTCACTAGAGTTTCACCCCATGTCACTAGTGTCTCACCGTCTCTCACTAGTCTCACCCCAACTCTCACCAGTGTTCCACCCCATCTCTCACTATTATCACTGTCTTTCTCACTCTACCATAAATATTCCTACCAAGTTACACGCCATAATAAGGATTTATGGAGAAGTTGTATACAGTATTGAGTTTCTGTGTTGGTTAAATAATCTATGAATAGTCGACAGTTACCCCTTGATGCCTACCTAACACACACACACACACTGTACTTCATTGTTGTTGTTTTTTTAATAAGTAAGGTAAGGGAACTCTACACTGTTTCCCTCTGTGCCTCACTAAGATCTCACAGTTATCTCTGGTCTCTCCCACAGAGCGCGCCGTTCATCAAGCCAGTTGAGGCGCCTGTGGACGAGCACGCCTGGTAAGTGCTGTACGTGTAAACAAAATATTCCCACAACACTAAGATACTGACACTGACAGAATATTCAGGAAAACATTTATGATGGTGATAACTCTAGGTGTGTGTGTGTGTGTAATTCTGCAGATTTTCTACATAATACATTATTTTTTTACTGAGTTTTTATGAAGTATAAAATGTGACACAATTAAATCGTAGTTTCGTGTTGTAATATTGTCTTGACTGACTACTGCTCTGGTAATTATTTTAAGGTCTCGTGGTTCTGCGTGTGTAGTGCCCATGTGAAGTAAAATGTTTACCAGGAAAAGTTGACAAGGCTCCCCCAGCGCCAATAGTAAATGCTGTACAGGGGATGGCTCCTCGGGTAATGTCTCCCCATCTCCATCCCTCCCTTCCTCCTGTGTTGGTCTTGAGATATGATAACTTTTTTACAATAGAATCTACTCTCCCACTTTCCGCCATGTCAATACATAATTACATCACTTCCTAACCCCTGTTGTCTTCTCCTCTCGGAACAATGGCGGACTGTACTGTATTGTATATCGAGTTGTAAATTTGTCAGAATGTTGTCATTAGACTACAATAGACCCTCCGTTATTGTAGGTGTCCGGCAAATTACACCTGATTAATGTTTATTGTAGTACTAAGTTAGCTATCATAAATCATGGACAGTTTTTTTAATACACCATTGTTACACTGTGTTGATGGATGTCGTTTTATGGCTGCCTATAATGATGTGTTCTACAACAGCCCGTCCATTCTCGTGTACTGTATAGTCATCTGCCACTCTGCTCGACTGCCGACAACCAATATATAGTATATAAAGATTTGGTGAAATATATCAACGATAAGGCACAGGGTGAAACGATGTCAAGACTTAATAAAAAAATATGAAATAAAGAGTAGTAATATATATAACGTCTTCAGGCAGCCAGTGTACTGTACAGGGCCTACAGGCGTCATAAAACCAGACCTATAGCTAGACTGTGTGGTTCCTCTGACAGTTCACAACACACAGGACTCATCAACTGTGGATACAAAATCTATGTATTAAGATCAATTACGCTGTATCTGATAGAACTTTCGTTACTATACGCTAATTATGTACAGATAGACGCTATGATGACTATTGTATTCCCCTGCCTTCTCCTCCCTCCCTCGAATCATTTCACTTGTGAGCCTCATCACCGTTCGTCCGACACCCTAATTCCTACTAATGGGTCTTAGTACAATTTCAGGTTAATTTTTCCTTGACCACAGAGTTCCCTAATCAACTGTTACGGGTAAATGTTAATATATTGTACGAGGCGTTGAGAATACTGGCCCAGACTACCAAAGATTCGTACTTTAAATTCCTCCCGAAAATGAAGATCAGGAGACGCTTCTGACTCAGCCTGAGAGGTAAAGATGGATGCCATAAGGGAGTCGAAATTATACTCAAATTGTAACCGTTTCTCACTTTAACGAGGAGTAAGATAACATGAACTAATGAAAATCCGATTAATGTCCTATAATTTGACCCGTAAGTTCAGTAATTTCCTGTGACTGTGGGCCACCACTTGGTAACACTGAATCACACTCGTCATTGATTAATTAGTGAGAAACGTCAGTAACTGCGGAGTAGAGACTATTTGCCTTGGACAGTACGTCCTGCCGCTGTATTCCCTTATCTCAGATGACACATTGTTATCCTGATACCAAGTGTTGTATACACGTGAGACAATTATAAACGGATCAATAGGAGCATCTTGTACTTAAAGCCTAGAGAGAGAGAGAGAGAGAGAGAGAGAGAGAGAGAGAGAGAGAGAGAGAGAGAGAGAGAATACTTGTGTTTGCTTACTTAATTTATTATTCATATCTATTGAAGTGTTTAAAATTGTTGATACAGTGGTCCTCTGATAGAGTTTCCTTGGAAGGTATTGAGCATCAGTGCTCAGTGACTTATTTCAGCCTCCAGCATGGACCTCTCTCTCCCCACGAGCAAAAATACATTCTGTCGTATTCTTGTTATGGCAAAATGACAACTACAGCAGTAAAGCATCATATATCATGATAGTCTCCCTTATAAATATATGCTATAATTACGTCGTTAGATAACTCAAAAGTAATTTATTGTCACAAAGATAATTGCACCCGTTAGCAACACGCTATAACTACCCTGACATATCACCCTCCATGATAATTTCTCAAGGTTTATGATATAACACACACACACACTCACACACACTACTACTACTACTACTACTACTACTTTGGTGTCACTCGGAATCGAGTATGACGATCATCCAGCTATGATACAGTGATATGAATTATTAGGGATGTCACCTTCATTGGTGAGTTTTGAAGTGACTAAAGAGGCCGATACGGGACCGGCAGAGTTTTTCACAGATGTTGCACATGTGGGGGGCTACATCGAGTGCGGGAGGGGCAGTGGTAGCGTTTTTCCGGCGTTGGCGCTTGTCTGCCTCGGTTTGCAGTCGGGCTAACTCGAAAGTATTGACACCTTCTCGTGTGGTGCTCCTCCAAGCGTTACGATTTGGAGTAATTCGCCTCCCAGATTAGGAGGTCGATTTGACACACACACACACACACACACATCTTTCGCTACTGTAGTTATAACGTCACTAATATCTTCAATATCATTTACTTTTAAGGGGGTTTGATAGTTTATTAAAGGACTCACAGTGATGTACATGCAACAACAGCGTAACACTTCTCTCTTTACCTTCATCATAACTTGCCATCAATCATCACACCTCACCTACCTTAAGACATCAAGGTCACTGGTCAATGAACTCTTCACAAGCGTAATAATAGACCCGTCCCAATTATAATGGACCCGTCTCAATGCTAATGGGGCCCGTTCCAATCTTAATGGGCCCGAGCCAAACCCAAATTGTCAATATAGGACCCAATCGTAATGGTTATCAGTTGGAATGGACCCTAAACACAGGGGGCCTAAATTTTAATGGTAAGCGAATGCACTTGAATTGTTAAAATTCAAATTCAACAAATTTATTGACAAAGCTTGGAGTACAGTTTGCCTATTCTGAGTAATTCAGTCGGGTCTTGACACTGAGGGTGTTATGTTCAAAGTCCGCGTGTTATATGGACTAAAAATGAAGTGTGTATATATATATATATATATATATATATATATATATATATATATATATATATATATATATATATATATATATATATATATATACAGGAGCCTAAGATTGAGCATACTTGGTTAACCGGTTCCCCATAAGATTTTTAATTTAAGAAACATAAAGGTGGGTGAGTGAGGAGCTCCGGGGGTAAAGGATTAAGGTAAAAGTCAAAGTTCGCAGTTAATTGTCTCAGAATAAAGGGAGTTACGATTAGTTATTAATTGTTTACAAGAAGAAGAAAGAACAAACGAAGAAAGAAAGAAAGAAAAAGGGGGAAGAAACAAAGATATAAAAAAGAAGAAAGAAATAAAAGAAAAGAAGAAAAAATAAAGAAAAAGAAGAATGTTACAAAGAAACAAAGAAAAAGAAGAAACAGAAAAAAGAAAGACGCAGAGATAAAGAAATAAAAAAGGAAGAAGAAACCGAGAATAAAACACAATATATCCCCAATGACATAGTACAATGTTAAACCGAACTTTTCATTAAACGCCTGAAGGATTGGATATCAATAAACAGTACTGACACAAGAACATAAACCTTCAATAAACGCTAATGTTATTATTAAACCACGATTGACATTTTCTCGAGGACACGCAAAAACACACAACTTTCTTACCGAGAGCACATAAGAGCCATCATCTAACTTGAAGCATTAATAAATATGAATGATAAATTGAGAGAGATTTTATTTAAGTTGGTCATGCTTCAACTATCATTATATCAGTTAAGTACAGCGGGAAGAGACTCAGTTCGTGTTATCGTAAGACTTGCGTGCCTGGCGTCACTTAGAGGTGAAAAATGACACTCGGTATGATCAGAAGGAATCAATGAGTTAAGGATTTGTGCTGGTACTGTACACACACATACAAACACACACACGGTCGTTTACAGGAATCCCAGAGAGAGGGACAGATAGGCTTAGAGATATTACGTTGATTATAGTTGAGAGCAATTTTCGCGCCATGAGCCTCCAGGATTCCCTCGTCGCTACAAAACGTCACAGTTTCCTTGACTCGGCATTGAATAAATTCAGACGCGCTATAAACTCGTTACTTATCGTCTCTGAATGCTCGTCCTTCACAATACAAAGCCCATCATTAGAGTACGAATACGCGTTTCTCAAGACCTACTATACTGTATGTGTATCTCGAAATTACTATAATTACTTCATCATAAATATTTGCCACATAACTCACTGTCAGTCTTCACCCTCAGTTACAGTCATTGATAAAGCCTCAACAACTTCACAACAAAGACAGCGTCCCAGGCTACCGCCTTGACTTTATGACTACATTCAGGAGCGATCTATCATTACCTCTGACAGACCCTCCCAAAATACTGAGTAATTTAAGTTGCACTGTACTTTTGACGGCAAATGTGTGTGTGTGTGTGTGTGTGTGTGTGATAGTTCAGGCGCTAGGAAAGACAGTACAGTAGTGTAAAACAGTGGCGTATATTGGATGTAGTCACGACCCCCCAATTTTTGCTACTGCCCTCAACTAATTCATCCCAACGCAACCAGTTCGCGAAGACGTAAGTACTTAGAAATTAATTCAGGCACCTAGTCAGGGAGGAATGCTTCCAAAAGAAGTACTAATATTGACCATAAAATCTGTCCTGCTATTAATTGCAGATGGGCCCAAAAAGTAATTAAAAATTGGTCAGATTTTAAAATTTTCTCGGGGGAAGGGGCTCATAGCTATATGGGTTTGCTACTCTCGTTCCCTGCTTACACCACTAGATGGAAATAATGTAACGTCCCTATCTTCAAGCCTTGCCCCCCCCCCCTTTCCGGAAGCATATATACGTCACTGGTGTAAAATGACATTTTCAAGTGGTCATAGATTTAGTAAATGCTGTTTAACACATCAAAATGTGTCTATTCATGGGGGTACAACAACCTGAATCACAAGTACTCCGTGAACACTCCCTGACACCCATAGGTAAGGAAGAAGACCTAGGTGTCAAGATAGACCAACCACTGAAAGCAGCGCAGCAAGTCGTGAAGAAAACTAATCAAACTCTAGGAATCATAAAGCATACCTTTGAATAAGACGATGTTCATTTAATCTCTCGTAATGTCCGCTTGACTACTGTATACAAGCATGGGGACCACAATTTTAAAAAGACAACATTTCTAGAAAAAAAAATGTTACACAAGATGACAAGAACTATTCCTTAAATATGCCATCTTGACTTCCCAAATAGACTGCTGGCCTTGGGAACCAAACCTCATAGAGATTTCAAGATTCTGAATGAGATGAAACACGTTTAAATCAGGTCACTTCTTCAAGATGGAAAGCTCTTCAAAAGCAAGAGGTCATATTGTAGCTTCAAGATGGCTAAATTATCATGCAGACCGAATGAATATAAGGAAGCACTTCATCACGCAGAGGATGTAGTAGCGCGATAACAGTCAAGACGCTTGCCAGGCCCGACACATGCAGACAGTTCAGACGACACATATCCGTTGCTTATCGACTAGACGACAACAGCGTGCCATAAATCATAGGCTTAGGGTCTCGGGGTTTACCAATAATTTATTTCTACCGTGAACGATAAGTTTTCTGCCCAAGAGACTGTAAATCACTGTTGACATTAAGAATATGGAAAAATAGTTAGATTTAGAAACTTCAACTTAAACAAAGGGAATCCTATCGTAGAGTTAGCCAAAAGTATTAATAAATAGTGAGATAATGATGTGTGTCAAAAGTATTTAGAAAAAAATGTGCAATGTTCTTTTTTTCTGTTTTACTGTATTTTTCCGTTCTTTATTAAATTCTTTTCTTTTTCTTTAGTTTCGTATCTCTCTCTCTCTCCCTCCTGTGTCGTATCTTTAGTGAACCAATCGGACGCATTTACATACTGCAGTATAATATCCAGACGAATAAAAACGACTAATTCATACTTGTAGCTCAAGTTAGCTTAAGTTGGGTTTAAGTAAGGTTAGGTTAGAGGTAGGTTTATTTAGGTCATGACGGATTAGGTTAGATTAGGGGTAGGTTTAATTAGCTCAAGTCAGGTTAGTGTCAGGGTACGTGTATGGGGGGGGGGGACATTGTTTATCAGTAAGCTCCGTCTTCAATTGGGCGAATTTGCTGGTGACCGAACCTTTTAAGAATCTAGACCTGAAAGAACTACTAGATTGTGTCAATAATAGGCATGATTATTGACTTTTATTACGGGTAAATTGGCGTTAGCAGAAAGAGAGTAAATGAAAAGAGGAAAGATACAAGTTATATAATTATGGATTGTCTGCGTATATATTGTTTATATATCTGTATTGTCAATGTACAGTCACCCAAAAAAGTCCTGTCGCGAACCACGAACCCCGAGATTCAGACTCGTGAACCCGAAGCAGTAGACACTGATACATTATTCTCTCCATAAATGCTTCGGATTCAAGAGTCTGAATCTCGGGGTTCATGGTTCGCGGCAGGACTTTTTTGGGTGACTGTACATTGTATACCTGCACTATTTATATTGTATACTTGCACTATGTGTACATTGTATACCTGCACTGTCTATGCACATACTAAATCAATGTGAACTTGCATGACGATTTTACAGAATATACCCATCATCTATCTGTCTACCAATCTATCTATCGGTGCAGCTACAGGTATTGTTGGTATCTTACAATGGCCTCTCACCAGAAAAGCCTTTTGTAAGCCCTGTGTAGACCACGCTGTACCCTAGCAAGCTGTAATGCATATTAATGGTTTATTTCAAGCGTTCTCGGAACCTCGCACGATTCTAAAAACTGGTTCCTGAATCTCAAAGGTTCGTCTGTTGGACGTTAGGTTAGGTTAGGTTAGGTAAGGTTAGGTTTTAACTGAAACAAGCCAAGGCTTCTCATATCTTCATTTATAAGGAATACAACCTTCAGATTATGTCATATAATATATACAGTGATGTAATGTATGTTTAATAAATTTGGATGGGCATATTCAAAATTTATCTATAGCTGAACCAAACCTTTCCGTATTAACCTAGCCAAACCTATCCGTACGAACCTAATGGAATCTTAATTAGGCTAACCTAGCCAAACCTATCCATACTAACCTAGCCAAACCCATCCACACTAACCTAGCCAAACCTATCCATATAACCTAGTCAAACCTATCCATATAACCTAGTCAAACCTATCTGTACTAACTTAACCATACCTATCCTTAACTAACTTAACCAAATCTATCCTTAACTAATTTAACTAAACATAACCAAACTGCAAATTACATTTTAAACAGTTCCAGAAATTCTCAAATATACTAACGATGGCTAAAGCTTTACGAAACACAAGAGAGAAAACGTAAATGGAAGTTGACGAATGCTGAGACAATTGGGACAGGAGGAAATATTTGCCTTTGACAATGAAGTATCCATTTCATAGAATTTCTCAGGGTTGATAAACACATTGGATCTGACGAGTGAGGGGGACAGTCAAGGCTATATTATGTAATGAACTTGAATGCTGATTTAGGAGGTAAAATAGTGATGCATAAATTAAAACCAAGAAAGAGAGAGAGAGAGATTACTAAAATGTGAAATATAAAGTCCAGTGTGTCTGTCTATATGTGTACAGGAAACAATAGTGTGTGTGTGTGTGTGTGTGTGTATGTGTGTATGTATGTCGCAACGTCTCCTCTACACATAAGATTTGTCAACTAAAATGTGTACATACTTCACCCGCCTTGCCTCAAACTGTACTTTGACTCTAACCTAACGTCTGGTAGAGTATTAGAACGGATAAATATATAAATTAGGCGGGATTTTGTGAATTTTTCGATTTTGTTGGGGGTGATGTCGGACCGAAATTAACACAATCCACAGCTAAATAAGAGAACTTTGAGTAAATAAAAAGATAAAAAAAATACATATAAAAGGCTGTGGGATTTCGTCGAGATATTATTATGCTGGTGGAGTTTTGACTACGGGGGAGTTATTTGGGTGGAATTTATCCATGGCCCTCAATAGGCTTCTTTTTGCCGCAGGGAGGGAAGTAACCGCACCCAGAAGCCGCCGTCGCCACAGCTGCCGCACGTGACCTGCCCTCAACCGCTGGCCTTCGTCGGGTTCCTGAAGGACATGCTAGACGTCCTCAGCATCCAAATGAACTTCACGTAAGTCCTGTGTGAAGGAAATTTGCTTTTGTTGCCTCGAGGGAGTTCAGATCTACATGCTTAGAAATAAACACAAGATATACAAATTCATGTCCACAGTTCAGTATACAGTTCAAGTACACATTTAGGTATTGTATATAGAAAAAATAAATTAAGTATTAGTTGGCTAGAAATTCAAGTTCACATTATCAAAAATAAAAACTATCATTACAAGTACACAGTTAGGGAGACGTTTGTTGGAAGTAGTGTGCTAATATTCTTTTCCAAATATTCCTTAGGTTAATTTTATACCAGAACTCTTTGTAAGTGAGTGTGTAATCTCGACAATATTTTTTAACGTTAACCAGAGGAGTTACGAGAAATATTCACCGTATATACGAACATGTGAGAATTTAAGAGTACATACGGGATATCTGCTCAATCAGTCCCTCTCACCTGCCACACAACACACAAGAAGAAAAATTATCAGTTTATGCCCCAAAAAAGTTAATCGATTAGAGCTGTTCCATCACGTAGTGACCCACTCCCAGGGCCGGTGCAAGATGATTTGGCGCCCTAGGCAAGCCTTTAGATGTGCGCCCCCTTGAAAGTTTTGATAAGCTAATGTAGGTACAGTAACCCATGACTACATTGTTTTCATCTTGTGGCTTTATTACTTCACCCATGCAAATAACCAATTATTGTTATTACATTAAGTCAATAAATTCTTGACGTAAACTTCAGAGGTCAGGTAACCTTGCCTCATCCCGACAAAGACAGGGAAGGGGCAGTAAGGGAGGGGAGGGGAGGGGATGGTGGGGTTGGGAGAAGGGTTCCTCAGATGTCAGCCTTCAGGTCACTGCTCGACAGTTCTCCAGGCCGCCAAAGATAAGGACCCGGGTTAGTCCCTCCGGGGGGGTTAACGAATAATATTAAAAAAGAAAACACAGTCGGCTACCGTCTACCTACCCTCGCCTCCCTCCGACCCCCCCACCCTTCTAACATCCTGCTCCGACCCTCCACGGCTCCACCACAGTTTTCCCTTCATTTTTAATTTTATCCAAGTTTGCCCTGAATTTGTGGCGCCCCCAGATGTTGGCGCCCTAGGCGATCGCCTAGTTCGCCTAGTGGGTAGCGCCGGCCCTGCCCACTCCCTATATTGTAAACACTCTGTCAATGAATAGTGTTCCTTTAACCCTCTAGAAAAGCCTACTGTGGCGTGATGGCTTTGTTGGGCTATCTTGGTCGATTCGACTTATTGTTTACCACTGTTTGTATACCCGCACTGTATGTAGTATGTACATTATTTGTATACCTTTACAGCCTATGTGAACATTCTTTACGTACTCATATAAGTACTGTCTGTTTTATGTATACCTTCATTGCCTCTATTATACATGTTGAGTCAATGTAAACTTGTAGGACGATTTACTATATCTACCTATTTATCTCTCTGTCACACTGACTTTATTATGAACCTGTCGAGGAGGAAAAGTACTCCCATTTTCGTACGCACCTGTAGTTATTGTGGACAGATCGTGTGAGGTTGTAAGGAATTAATTCATTTTTGGCCGTAAAAAGGGGATGCTTTTGTCACGGCGCCTCACTACTTCATTGGTTGTCTTGACGTCTATATGTATCGCTTAGTATTATCCCAGTGCTGGTTGACCTGAGTGTACACGATGGATCAGTTGCTTTGGTTTCTTACCTTTTTAACCCTTAGTATACACAGCAGCTCTTGGGGTTTAAATACACATGTTAGGAAGAACATAATTTTTTTTTTCATCTTGGAGTTGTTCAGGCGGCATTTACGAGTCAGGTAAGGTGCCTGCGTAATGAATAAGTCGATTTAAAACTAACAAGGAAGGGACATAAAATGAGCTGTATTGTTTCTTGGGGTTGCCTGCACACACACCACTGGCACCATCACTGTTTCTGACATTTATATTGGTTGTTCATCGTGTACGAGGATGACCGATCCTGAGGCCATCTAGGTGGGAATTTCTTTAAGGAATAGAATCTGTCACCCTGAGTTAACGATCTGTATGACCAAGTATTAAGGAATAACCCCAAAATGACTACTCTGGCTAACCATTACCCTGGAACACGATTCACCAGTCTATTAATATACAGGTTCTCATTATTACTGGTTAGTCAGACGCAAATGGCATAAAGAAACTTGTCCATAGTTTCACCCTGCTTAAGTATCGAACCTAACCATCACATCACGGGTCGCCGCCAGCTGTCATTTATATACCACCAACAGCTCGCTCTGCTACGTGGTTATAAAGTTTTGATAATCGCAAGTGTCGCCAAGTGCAGCTCACACAGCCTTGATTATTCACAGTCTTGAGTTTTGTCTTCGTTGTAAGTCAAACAGACAGACTCCAGCCATTATAGACCTCAGCCTAAACTAACGTACCCTAGCCATGAAGAATGATTTACCTCAGGTCTGAGAATCACTAGAACCAGGGCCCATTAGGACTGTGAATCACCAGAACCAGGGCCCATTAAGACTGGTACTCACCAGAACCAGGTCCCATTAGGACTGTGAATCACCAGAACCAGGGTCCATTAGTACTGTGAATCACCAGAACCAGGGTCCATTAGGACTGTGAATCACCAGAACCAGGTCCCATTAGGACTGTAAATCACCAGAACCAGGGTCCATTAGGACTGTAAATCACCAGAACCAGGTCCCATTAGGACTGTAAATCACCAGAACCAGGTCCCATTAGGACTGTGAATCACCAGAACCAGGCCCATTAGAAATGTGAATCCCAGACCAGGGCCCGTGGGACTGGTGCTCACCAGAACTAGGGCCCATTAGTACTGTGAATCACCAGAACAAGACCCGTGGGACTGGTATCACATAGAACCAAGGGGTCCATTAGTACTTGAATCACAGAACCAGAGATCCCGTGGTACTGTGAATCCCCAGAACCAGGGCCCATTAGAAATGTGAATCCCCAGAACCAGGGCCATTAGGACTGGTACTCACAGAACTAGGGCCCATTGGTATATGAATCACCAGAACCAGGGCTTGATGGGACTGGTCTCACCGGGCAAGGGCCCATTAGTACTGTGAATCACCAGAACAGGGTCCATTAGTACTGTGAATCCCAGAACCAGGGCCCATTAGGACTGGTACTCACCAAAACTAGGGCCCATTAGTACTGTGAATCACCAGAACCAGGGCCCGTGGGACTGGTACTCACCAGAACCAGGGTCCGTGGGACTGGTACTCACAAAACTAGGGCCCATTAGTACTGTGAATCCCCAGAGGCCAGGGCCCAGTAGAAATGTGAATCCCCCAGGAACCAGGGCCCATTGGGACTGGTACTCACCAAAACTAGGGCCCATTAATTGCTGTGAATCCCCAGAACCAGGGCCCATTAGGACTATTACTCACCAGGAACCAGGGCCCGTGGTACTGTGAATCACCAGAACCAGGGTCCGTGGTATATGAAATCCCCCACCAGAACCAGGGCCCATTAGGACTGGTACTCACCAGAACCAGGGCCCATTAGGACTGCGAATCACTAGAACCAGGGTCCATTAGTACTGTGAATCCCCAGAACCAGGGTCCATTAGGACTGGTACTCACCAGAACCAGGGTCCATTAGGACCGTGAATCACTAGAACCAGGGCCCATTAGGACTGTGAATCACTAGAACCAGGGCCCATTAAGACTGGTACTCACCAGAACCAGGTCCCATTAGGACTGTGAATCACCAGAACCAGGGTCCATTAGTACTGTGAATCCCCAGAACCAGGGCCCATTAGGACTGGTACTCACCAGAACCAGAGCCCATTAGAACTGTGAATCACCAGAACCAGGGCCCATTAGAACTGTGAATCCCCAGAACCAGGTGTCCATTAGAGGTGGTCCCCAATATTAATGGTCAGAAACTGTTGTGTGTTCTGTCAGGCTGATATAATGAGGCTGGGGCACCTCAAAGGAGCTTTCAACGTACCTTCAATTTCTCCACTAATTGGGAACACGAGAATGTTTCCAATTAGCTCACTTAAGCCTTAGCATAGTGTGCGTGGTGTAGATAGGGCCGAAAATTCCCCGAGACTTCAACGTAATGTTAAATCTCTACGCTAATTGGTAGTTGAGAATGCCTGCATCTAACTGGCACTCGTAAGATCTGGTACTGTACAAACATTATTACGTAAATACCACGACCACGATGCCATTACTCAAGGCATAACTAACCTAAAATCTAATCTAATCTAACCTAACCTAACCTAACCAAAATTAAGACTTACCCTAGGACTTGTTATTTATGGTAGGTTCCGGTTACGTTAGGTTTCAGGTAAAGGTGTTTTGTTAGGTTATGGTAGTTTAGCTTTGGTTAGGTTAGGTGAAGTTATTTTTAGTGGTGAAGGGAGGGAGGGAGGGTGTTGGTATTGTTCTGTAAATATGACTGTCTGTTATTTACACATCTGTCTATCTGTCTGGTTGTCTTTTAACCTTTTCTATCTCTCCCTATACATGCAAAAATATTTAATTATATATCACAAATTAACACACACACACACACACACAACCAGTGTATTCACTCCCAGTAAATACTACTTCTTGCACTGTCACTATGTTGAAATGCACTGTAGTTTGAGCTTTTCCCCATCTAGTTATTATATATCTTATTTGTATCACTTATGTTACTTGTATATTATTTGTAATTCGAAACCCATTCCCCAAATATGTAACTGTATATTTTCAGCCTTCTGGCTGCCAAGCTCTTTCAATAAACCGTTATTATTATTATTATTATTATTATTATTATTATTTATTTGTATATCACGGTACAGGTCTGTAATAAAATAGTATTCTGGTACATAATGAAGCATTTCCTAGTTATCCCTGGTACAGATATACACGGTACAAGGTGACTTTAGGCAGGTACATGATGCAGCAATATACCCGGTACAGGTACACACTGTATGAGGTGTGTGACGGGTCTTACGGGTCGCTGGTAGACGGACGGTGGACGGGTGTGGTGGGGGAGGTGATGTACGGGTACGCCCACATCGGTTTGTCCAATCTTGGTGCTAACTACGCCCGCAGCCACGCCGTGTCCTTCCCCAGGGTCTCCACCAGCTACGGCGGCGCTGGTATGTCCCCTCACTGTACACCTCAATAATTCATTTGAAATACAAATGGCTTATGAATAATTGTCACCGAGAAAACCTTTCGATTTTTTTTTGTCAGTACAATGTAAGAAGTATGCAAACTCATTTAGAATGTAAATACGAGCAATATATTCCAGTAGTAATGGACAAATGAAAGGCAAACAAACATGTATATAAATGATTTCCTTGTAATTGAGGATGAAGGAAGGCACCAAGGTACCCCAGGGCGCCATTGTGGTGCGGCCTCACACCTCTAGCTCGGGGAACTTTTTTTTTCTGAGAATCTTAGACCAAATGCATATAAACATAACTTTAATTTCATCATGCTGTAACTGTGTGTCATGCAGCATCCTGAAGTGTTCTCAGAAGACAGTACAACAATACGAACGTCACTACGCTACCTGGCGACCATTATAAGATAGAAATACTGGTAGACCTGAGTAACAATTACGTCCTCATGTTGTGTTTTCCAGGCACCATCTTGAAGCGACCCCGGAACATCCAATAGGATACTGTTTAAGATTTCTAACGTTTAGTCATGGCGCTAAATGATGGCCATATTTAAAGCTGTGCTGTAATTATAAGGTACCAGTTTGAAGCGTTTCTAGAACAATTCCCAGGACCTTGTAGAGAGTTGGCAGCCATACTTCACACTGGTATGTCTGTATGTATGTTTCAGGCATTATCTTTAAGCGTCCCCAGAAAGAGGCTCGGGACCTGCTGACCGTCTACCTCCTGCCGTTTTCCACCAACGTGTGGATCTGTATCGCTATCTCCATCCCCGTGGCAGCCTTCACCATGTACCTCACCACACGCCCACGTTTAAGCCTTCGCTCCCTCCTGCGGCGACGCCCACCTTCCCACGCCCGTCCCACCTCACTGCTGGAGTCTTCCGGGGAGTCGTTCGTCCCGAGATCGAGAGTGGTGGAGAGTGACGGGAAAAGGAACCCCCTGAAGAAGTATCTAAGAGTGAAGCCATTGACCACTTCACCTCTACACTGTTTCTATCAGGTACACTGAGAGAGAGAGAGAGAGACAGAAAGACAGACAGACAGACAGAGAGAGAGAGAGAGAGAGAGAGAGAGAGAGAGAGAGAGAGAGAGAGAGAGAGAGAGAGAGAGAGATTAAAATTACTGATGGGAGAACGATCAGTCCTTACCTCTTCACCTCCTGTATTCCTCCTCCAGGACAATTTTTTCGGCCAAGGAGGTGACGTAGAGGACGAGGGAGAAACGAAAAAGAAAGACAAGATGAGGCAACACACGGTAGACAGCAAGACGCTGCAGAAGGCCAAGAAGAAGAAGAAGGTGGAGGAGGAGGAAGAAGAAACGGAGGACGTCCCTCAGTCCTTCTTGAGCAGCCTGTGGTTTGCTGCCACTGTCTTCATGCAGCAAGGTAAGACAGGGTAAACAAGACGGTAAACAAGGGTAAGCCAGGGTAAACAAGGGTTAAGCTCGGGTAAACTACTACTATATACTACTACTACTACTACTACTACTAATAATAATAATAATAATGATTGATGAATAAAGAAATGGATGAATATTTGATAACAGATAAAACCAAGTCATTCATGGCCAACAGTCAGCACCCATTAACGTACATTAAAGAAAATGAATAATGAATAAATAATTTACACTCGCTTTACCTCCATGATATTATTAATCGGTACTAAGTGATAGTAATAGAGAGAAAAATATTTGTGTAAAAATTCCTGTCCTGCTGTAGACATGTTGATACTGTATAGTGTACACAAGTGATCGTGGGCACCTGCGTGCCCAGTGAAAGTTTGAACACTCGTGCTTGGCTAGCGTACAGCAAATGAGGGTGCGCCAAGTCCATAGATTTGCATCGTTTTCCATCTTAAATAAAATGGTTAATTAATGCCTTCCTAAAGAAACCATCGACATGGGACCAGGATTGTTCCACTCTACGAATTTTTTGCGATTTTTCCACCAAGTTTGATGAAAAACGATTGTGCCGTTTCGGCTGCCTAGAACAGAATGACAGACAGACAGACACCTAGTTCTATAGTATATTAGATTGATTGTGTGTGTGTGTGTGTGTAATGCCGTATTGTTCAGCGATGTTATACACTGAGACTCAACCTTTCTTTAATAAACACCAGAGAAAATCAACATACAGAATCTTTGGAAAAATTTCTGTATTCTAATTCTGACTCCTAACTGGTGCTCAGTGAACGTATCTATATAGTCAAGGTAGGGAACATCATATAGGCTTAACCATACTCATCTGGTGCCGTTGCTCTACAGAACCAAGGAAAATATTAATTTATATTTTATGACAGATAACTGGATATCTGGATTTAGAACTTGTATCGTAAACAGATGAACAAACATATTTTATGCTCGTTTCCCCAGCATTTATAGTCACATTTGAGCAGTCAACACAAGGAAAATTTACTGTTAACAGCAACTTCACTTTATTCCAGGAAATAGGACGAGTTAGTTTGTGATACTTATAATGAAATTTAATGCACGGGACTTTTAGAAACATTATTTTCAAGGGTGAGTGTTGGGCAGAAGGAGACGAGTGCATCTAACTTATTCTTCCGACATAGAAAGGAAGGAATACATTGGCGAGCGACGGCAAATAATAAATATACAGTATATTACGAACGTAGATTTTACATCCATATCAATCAACGTGGATTAGAGTTACGAATGTACGCCTTTATATTACTTTTATAAGTAAATTTTTATTTTTAATATTAAATTTATAGAGTAATGATTCAAGTACTCCACAGGATAATAAAATATATGGACGTTCATATAATATTTGGTGCATTATACATCTTATTTGTGGAAATTATAGAATCTACAATATTTTTAATCAGTTATACTTATAATCGAGGAGTTTTTTACGTTAATAATGACCAAACCTCTTTTTTAAACAAACTTTAATATAATCAGCCAGTAAGAGCCGTCGTCCGTTCGTGTATACCTGATGACTACCTACCAGCATAGCAATAGGGAACCAGTTTACTCCGTTATCATAACTGTGGGTTGTTGGCGATGCTGTTTTTGCACATATTGTGTTTATATTATGATAATGATTAGAATGAAAACATCGATTGTGAAAGAGAGACAAAGAAAAGACGGACAATGAGATAGTAGAGGAACTTAGGAATACGTTTATTTACTTTCTGCAGGTCAGGAGGTGGTGCCCGAGAGGTACCCCGCCAGGCTGGTGTTCGGCTCCATGTGGGTGGCTTCCGTGGTCCTGTACGCCTCCTACACCTCTAACCTCGTTTCTTACTTCACCGTTAACAAGTACGTGTCTACAGGGAGAGAGAAGGAAGGATGAAGAGAAAACACTGTTGTTGGAGACAGACTGAGGATGTATGTGAGTGAAAGGGAAAGAGAGAGGAAGGGATAAAAGGGAGTTTAAATGAAAGTTGTAAAGAGGGAGAGAAAGAACTCCAACAGTGTCTTATAATTCACTGTCGTAAGCCACTTGCTGACACATTTGAGATTGTTTATATTGCAAATCTATGTAGTGTATCAACATTAAAACTTTAACGAGTACTTGAGGTTCATGATCACCTTTTAAACTGTGAAGTTGTTTGAGTAGTAAGGTATTTTGTTCCCGCTGTGGATATACCTGGTGATATCTGTCACTGTTGACGGTAGTTTTATTTTTTTTTCTTGACATAGATATATGTCTCTCTCTTCTTGTTGGCTGTTGTATGAAGACACAAAGGGGGTAGAGGGGACAGTATCCATCTCCCCGGAATTGTTGACTGGACCAGCTGTTGTATCCGAGAACTATCACTACTGAGGCTTCCTGGGACGCCGACGTTTCAACACTGGAAGTTGTGGGCAATTTTTATGTAACTGTAGAGTGGTGTCGAGGTAACAGTGACAGCGGTTTTAGGTATCGGTGCTGTAGACTCGTGTGGTTATGGGTATCACCTTGGCTATAAGGGATGGGTGGGGTGGGGGGAGGGGGAAGTTGACAAGCGTGGTACTTGACCTGACTTCAGTGTTGATACATTGGTACTGTACACGGTTACAGAATCTAGCTTGTATCACATTGGAACCTATTTTTTTTTTTATTCTGAATGCATTTACTCATTGCCTGTGCCGCTCGTAATGACAAGTTGGTAATTTAACAGTAATATGTCAGTGTTTTAGATGCATGAGCTCTTTCTATTCTAGAATGTAAATTCAAGAGGATTTGGCAATTTATATGGTCACTGTCTGGGGATTATACACGACGCGTTTTTTGAGTTGGCATTATGTGGGCTAGTATAATTTGTAGCTTCACCAGAGTATTGATTGTGTGTTTATTGATGCACAGCCACAGTATAGTCCACGTCAGGATCGGAGCTCACACGACCCTCGCCTGCCCCCTTGAGTAAGACAAAGGTGCAGCCTCCAAGTTTGTGTCTGGAGTCACCCTGTTGGACGGTTGTTGAATGTGTCTCTTAATAACTGCCGCTTTCTGTGCATGTTCTGATGTTTTAGAATAACATATCTGAATTCGAATTTTACATGTACTGTACGTATATCAGTTTAAACATGCATATATGCGCACTTACCATAGCTACAGCGCCTGCCTTCTGTTCTGGAGGTAGGTGGTTCGATTCCCGGGCGCTCTAGGGTCACCCAGCTGTAAGAGAATATCTAATTTTACAACTTGTGTTATTAAATGCAGTCGAGTGCAGTACTGGCCATGCTGCCTCTTTTTGTACCGAAGGCTTAGTATATAGTGCGCTGTAATCACACTGTCCCTAACGGGCTCTCACGTCTATGGGACCCACTTTCACTTTTCATGGTCATGTGTTAACTGTGTGGACGTTTGTATGTCAGGTCGACGCTCCCCATCAACAACCTGGAGGAGCTGGTGAAGAGCGATTACAAGTTTGGCACAAGAGCTGGTTCTGTTTACGGTGACAACATGAAGGTTTGTTGATGTATCTTTGAACCTGTCTGCCTCGATACTGATGTGTTGCCTTATATATCCAGTAAATGATTAAATATGCTTGACCCATACACTCAAAACTACTTCTAATGTGTTATTTATAATGTGATGTGTAAAGAAGGTCTCTTGTAAGACGTGTGTGTGTGTGTGTGTGCGCGCTATTTCAGGCGTCAAAGAGCGAGGTGTACAAGGCAGCGTCGGCCAAACTGGAGTCTTTCGGGAAGGAGGTCACGATGGGCACCTACGAAGAGGCCATCCAGAGGACCCTACAAGAGCCCTACGCCTTTATAGGAGACTATGTCGGTGAGTCCTACACTCCTGTTGCTAAGTTATCTACGTGTGTATGTGTGGATATATCATGGATTTATGTCTAAGTCCTACAACTGTACACATGACGCATCTTGATTCCAGGGAGGTTCACACACACACACACACACACACACACACACACACACACACACACACACACACACAGTGACCATTAAAAGAAAGAAGGAAACGAGGGATGAAGAGTGTGTGTGTGTGTGTGTGTGTGTGTGTGTGTGTGTGTGTGTGTGACTCATGCTTCTGTTTCTTTCAGTGTTGGATTACTATCAGATGAAGGATTGTAATCTGGTACTCCTGAAGCAGCAGTTGTTCCAGACCATGAGTTCCTTCGTCCTGCCCCGTCACTCACCCATTCTGCCTGCCGTCAACTACTAGTGAGTCCCTCCCCGTCTCTCTGCCCGTCCACCATTAGTGAGTCTCTCTCCCTGTTTCTGCCCGTCCACCATTAGTGAGTCTCTCTCCCTGTCTCTCTGCCCGTCCACCATTAGTGAGTCTCTCTCCCTGTCTCTCTGCCCGTCCACCATTAGTGAGTCTCTCTCCCTGTCTCTGCCCGTCCAACATTAGTGAGTCTCTCTCCCGGTCTCTGCCCGTCCACCATTATCAACTCTCTTCCTGTCTCTCTACCCGTCCATTATTATTGATTTTCCCCGTTTCTCTGCCCGTTCACTACTAGCCATGTCGCACTTCGAGACAGTATCAGCCACACACAACCCGACACAAAGCCTCGGCCGCTCATGTAAACATTGCTGGTTAACATATGGAGCTGCCTCATGAAGACTGGCCCAAAACACCCCTCTCAAGACCTTAGGGATACAAGGGGCCAGCATTGTGTCTTAAACGGCGGTATTGTAATTTTTTATACGGGATCTCCATAGTCGGTATACAGTATTTACGTGAGGTGGTGGGTTGTCAGTCGTTTGTGTATTAGTCCGCTGTGCCAGTCGACTTGTGAAAGAGACCTAGGGGTACTTGTAAGCCCGGACCTACGGCCTAGAAAACAGTGCGTTAATGTTCGAAATAAGGCAAACAGAGTATTGGGTTTTATATCTAGAAGTGTAAGTAATAAGAGTGCAGAGGTCTTATTGCAACTATATCTTGCGCTCGTCAGGCCGCACCTCGATTATGCGGTTCAGTTCTGGTGCCCTTATTATAGAATGGATATCAATTCACTAGAGTCGGTGCAACGAAGAATAACGAAAATGATTCCGGGACTTAGAAACCTTCCATATCAGGATAGGTTAAAGAAACTAAACTTGCATTCCCTAGAAAGACGAAGAGTGCGGGGAGATATGATAGCAGTATTTAAGTGGGTAAAAGGAATCAATAAAGGGGATATAGATAAAGTTCTTATAATATCCGAGCAGGATAGGACTCGGAGCAACGGATTTAAGTTGGATAAGTTTAGGTTGAGGAGGGAGATAGGAAGGAACTGGTTCACAAATAGGGTGGTGGACGAGTGGAACAAGCTTAGCAACTTTGTAGTAAGTGCTGGAACGCTGGAAAGTTTCAAAAGGATGCTGGATAGGTTCATGGATGATAGAGAGTGGTAGTAACTCTCGACAGGAGCTGCCATGCACAGGCCAACCGGCCTATTGCAGACTCCTTATTTTCTTATGTTCTTATGTTCTTATATTATTGTACAGGGTAATAATTTGATTAGTAATTCCCGAACTCCCAGCTTAATAATAATAATAATAATAATAATAATAATAATAATAATAATAATAATAATAATAATAATAATAATAATTAGAAGTAAATGTGGAAAAATGGCACAAATTCTTTTCTTATACAAATTATTATTATTATTATTATTATTATTATTATTATTATTATTATTAGTATTATTAGTATTATTATTATTATTATTAGTATTATTAGTATTATTAGTATTATTATTATTAAAGATATCTTCTTTCAATGAAGACAATGATTAAAATGATCTAGTTAACGAAACTTATTCTTGTTGTACTGACTGTGGCGTGTTGGCAACTGTCATAATGACTTGTAACTAAGCATGACTGTTGTAGTAACTGTGAGAGTATCTTAAATTAACTGTAAGAGTGACTGTTGCAGTAATTACCGAAGCGAAGGAACTGGGGTAGATAATGTGGTGGTTATTGGGGTGACTGTAGTAATGACTGGTAGAGGCTAGCAGTGACTGTGGTTGAATTCTCCGTCACAGCATGTCCTTAATGGACGAGAGTGGGATCCTGGAGAAGCTTCGCCAGCGCTGGTGGAGAGGTCAACCCTGTGAAGACATCGGCACCGTCACCGCTTATCAGAGCCTTGGTCTGTGGGAGGTGAGTTATATTTATTATCTCTTTTTCCCACAATCTCGTCTCTCTACTACTACTAATAATAATAATGTGTGAATTGATTATAATCAATTCACACATTGCATAACCACTCTTGAATAAGTGATTCGTCTCAGGCAGTTAGTGACGTCATGGCTTTATACGTCACGAAAACAATGACGTTATGAACTACCCTCTTCAACAACAACATGGAAACGATGCTGTATTCACTGGAAAGAATACTTATTGTCGTTTCTCGAGACATGACAGACTTTATTCATACCGATCCTATTGCTACCCAAGGTTATTTATTGTACTCTATAACAGGCGTGGGTATATCCATTAGGGTTCTGGGCTTCGATTGCCTAGTATAAGGGCAGTTACATATCCAGGTATAAGCCTAGTGAGCGAGACAGTTTACTGACAGGTACAGGCCAAGTTAATGACAGGTACAGGTCAGGTTACTGACAAGTACAGGCCAAGTTACTAACAGGTACAGGCCAAGTTACTGACAGGTACAGGCCAAGTTAATGACAGGTACAGGTCAGGTTACTGACAAGTACAGGTTAAGTTACTGACAGGTACAGGTCAAGTTAATGACAGGTACAGGCCAAGTTAATGACAGGTACAGGTCAGGTTACTGACAAGTACAGGTTAAGTTACTGACAGGTACAGGCCAAGTTACTGACAGGTACAGGCCAAGTTAATGACAGGTACAGGTCAGGTTACTGACAAGTACAGGTCAAGTTACTGACAGGTACAGGCCAAGTTAATGACAAGTACAGGCAACGTTAATGACAGGTACAAGTATAGTGCCTGAGCAGGGCCGGATTCAGGAGTGGGCAAAGTGGGCAGCTGCCCAGGGGCCTCCACATATTACAATATTTTATTTATTTGTTTATTCATTTGGATTATTTTTATTTTCATTCTTTAAAATTTATGTTTATCTATTCCATCACGTAAAACTATGTTCAGCAAGGAGCGTGATAAAAATTAGGCTAGCTACTCCTTGAAATTTATGAATACCTGGTTTTCCTATGAATCGTATATTTTTAATGAATGCTATTGTTTGTGTTGCTAATAATATATTTAGAATTCCGGAACTCCCAGATGTTTAGGCTCGCTTCACTCGCCACCCCACCCTCTTGGGTAGATATAATGAGGGGGGGCCTCCACAAAGAGGCTGCCCATGGGCCTCCACAGGTCTAAATCCGGCACTGTGCCTGAGACAGGTACAGTCTTACAACATGTTCATTGATTTATTACAGGTATGCTCGGCGGGGCTGTTAATGTTGGTAGGCGTTGTGATGGCGGTGTTGGTGTGCTGCCTGGAGCACGCCGGCCCACGCCTCCACCACACCTCCCTCATCACCAGGACTACGACCAGTAATAGGAATCGTAGTATTAGTAGTGAGTGTATCCCGTCCTCTCAACGCTGCTCTACCAACACAACTCATGGCCAGGTCTTGAAGACAGTGTTGTCAGACTAAGGTGTTTTTAAAAGCAATTAATAAGATGCCTCAAGCAAGCTCACACATTTGTCGCTTAATAAAACATTTTGTTTCTTCCATTGAGAGATTTGCGAGAGTTTCGGAGCAGTCTAACCTCATCGTCAGACAAACTATAAAACAAAATCATGCATGATGTAAGACGTCAGTTGTATACAGGAAATAATTTAAAGGCCAAACAGTGCAAGGCGTCTGTAAACATAAAAACAAGTGAACCTCACGTAAAGACCAAACATTGGGTGACAAATACATCTAAAAGTATACCAGTGTAAAACACAAAAGCAATACACCAAGGAAAACTATTGAATTTTTGTTCTAGATACACAAAATATTATTATCAGATTATTTTTGGACTGTATCTCTCCCTTTGAAATGTTATTTTAATATTTAAAAACGTCTGACTTCTTTTATCTTGACAGAAAAGATTTCCAGTATTTCAAAGGTTCTTGAAAGCATTTAGCATTTCTTTATTTCATTCAGTGGAAGAAATATTGTTCACAGCTTGACTAAGGATGATGTCTAAGGACAAAACTGTTGTTATGAAGTCTGATAAAGGCAATGAAATTGTTATAGCAAATACTGTATAGAGGATAATGTTAGGAAGCTGTGACGCCTTTGAATTCCATCCTCCAATGTTCTTTTGAATATTTTGAACAAGGAAGAGTAAATCAACAAGTTTTGTAAATCTTGACTATCAGTTTGTTTATACCGTATACTGTACAACGTGTGTGTGTGTGTGTGTGTGTGTGTGTGTGTGTGTGTGTGTGTGTGTGTGTGTGCGCGGCATTATTATGCCCTAAAATAATCTCATTTAATTACTTAAGGTGAACATATATGTAATTCACCACGTTTCATTAAATCCATAATTGTAACTCTTAAGTATACTGATGTCTGTGAATATAGTTAATGTATCAATTAATTCCAACCATATTGTTTGTAGATGCCAACTGTACTCATTGTAACCACTTATTATCCTTCGCTTCTTCCACGTATGTTTGGGGGTCATCTGTGTTTTATGGTTATAGGAGAAAAATTCGAGCTGGGGTCAGGATTTTAGGTTGAGACGGAGGTGGACGCAACTAAATAAAGTGCCAAGTACACCATAAACAGTAACCCAGAGGTATATTCAATGCGAGGAAATAAAACTTTGGAGAGAAATTAAAACTGATGCTCCGTGCTTTCTACGCCCCAAAAAAAAGAGAGTTGTGCAACGAGCTTGCAGAGCCCCTGAAGATCCTGTTTTGTAAATGCCTGGATGAACGAAAGGTCCCCAGTGAATGGAAAGTGGCTAATGTGAGTCCTATCCTCAAGAAGGGCGATCGGCACTCCACGAACAACTATAGACCGGTGAGCCTGACCAGCATAATATGTAAAGCACTTGAGAGTATTATCAGAGATGCCGCAATGGAACATCTAATACGAAACAATCTTGTAAAGGATTACCAACACGGTTTCATGCCGGGGCGCTCCTGCTTAACACAATTGCTCAAGGTATTGGATATTTGGACCTATATTCTGGAACGGGGTGGTAATATCGACAATATTTACCTAGATTTTGCCAAGGCTTTCGACAGTGTATCCCATGAAAGGCTGAAAATCAAACTGGAAGGGTACGGAATTCGAGGAAATGTCCTAGCATGGATAGAAGACTTTCTACATGACCGCAAGCAGTGTGTGGTGATTAATGGCACGAAATCATCATCCGTACCTGTCACAAGTGGGGTAACACAGGGCAGTGTATTGGGCCCGCTGTTGTTTGTTTGTTTCATAATGACATGCCTGACGTTGTACACTCCTCCATACAAATGTTTGCCGATGACGCTAAGTTATTTCGGGAAATTTAGAACCAAGCGGACTGTGAAGAGCTGCAGAAGGACCTCTGTGGGCTCCAGGAATGGTCGAAGAAATGGCTGCTGAGATTCAATGTCACGAAGTGTAAGAGGATGCACCTGGGGCGTACCAACGGTAAGGAGGCGTATCATATGTCCCAAATGGGATGAAGAAACTGCACTAGTTGAGACTGAATGCGAGAAGGATCTAGGTGTGTATGTTGACAATGAGCTGAAGTTCTCGGGCCATTGCGAGAAGAAGGTAAACCAGGCAAATAAATTATTGGGTCTTATAAGAAGGTCGTTCAGATATCTAGACGGTCCGTCCGTCGTAACGATCTTCAGGAGTGAAGTGCTTCACCATCTGGAGTACTGTCAACCCGTCTGGTCCCCGAGATATGCTAGGGACTGTCAGTTGGTTGAAAATGTTCAGAGGAGGGCCACCAGACTGGTGCCTGCACTTCGGCACCTCAGCTACCCTGAGAGAGTGGAGCGCCTGAACTTGCCTAGCTTATACTACAGACGGGCAAGGGGGGACCTAGTTGAGGTGTAAAAGCATCTCAGGGAGCACTACCTGTACTCAGTTGAGTGTCCTTACTTGGAGCTGGCGGACGCTCGCCCCACAAAGGGTCACAGCTCAAGATTGAAGAAGCCGCAAGTCCAGAAAACTGTGTGGGCAAACTTTTTCGGAGTGAGGGTTGTAAACTCTTGGAACAATCTACCAGAGTGTTGTGACGGCACCGAGTGTGAGCTCTTTCAAGACAAGACTTGACCAACACTGGAGCGGGTTCAGGTACATTCAGGAGCCGGTGCATGCCCAGTATTTGCCAACAGTGCGTGACAGAGACGTGACCGATCGCCCGGGCGGCTAGCGAGCCGATCTTTTGGTGAAGAGGATAAATGAAAAGGAAAAGTAATCAGAGATGTGACCGATCGCCCAAGCGGCTAACGAGCCGATCAGTGGTGAAGAGGCTAAAAGTAAAAGTAAAAAAGAGAACAGCAGACCGCACCTCATAGTTGGGAGGCAAGAGACTTAATATGCGCGCAACAATACTCGTAGATACTAGTGGGAAAAGTTTAAAAAATCATAGTAATCAAGTTCCCAGTAATATTAGATCCAAAATCCTTGCTGTAGAATGAGAGAGGCAAGAAGTCAAGATAAGTAAGTTAGTTGGAACTAAAGTTCTCGATAAAATAAGTGGATATATTAAGGAAAATATATAATGAAACTGAAGAGGTAATAGTGGGCAGCTGGAGACAATAAAGTTCTGTGAGCAGTTAAGGAAGGAACGTAAGTGGTGAACAGTGTTTGTAAAGTAGTGAAATATTTAAGGATACTTGAGAACCTAAAATTAAGTAAAAAAAAAAAGAAAGGTTCGACTTTTGAGAAAATTATTTTAATCTAAACTTTTACTCTAACGTAAGCACACTTTAAAAGAAACTAATAGACATTGCCTAAAATTTTACATGGATAAAGCAACCAATCACAGGGTCGCAGAATTACGGGCGTTTAAAAGTTGTTGTGTTTTGTCTAGGCATACACACATGCACGCGGGTTGCCAAATGAGGTAAAGAAAAAATTAAACTGTCAATAAGTTAAGGTTTTCGCTCGCCTGTCTTCTCGCTCAGGCTCAATGCTATCCATTTTTTGCCCCTAATGGCTCTATAGTGTCACCTATTAGTTCAGTATACAGTACAGTACTTCAAACTTACAATTATCAATTTTATTCTTTTATATAATTTTTGCACAAGTCTATTAACGACACATAAAATATTTTGACTCCTTTGCATATTTAAATCCACCCATCAATATCCAATAAGTTTAATTGGCACACTGCTAAACTGAAGTTAGGGGAGGACTACGTAAAAATGTGATTTTTTTTTTATTTCAGCCAGTGGTAGGTTTCCTGTGAATTTGGAATGGCGGCTTAATTCCGCCTTACCTTATAGGCTAGTTGAGGTTAGATCATATAGGTAAGGTAAGGTGACTATGAAGTAAAGCCGGGGCTATCGTGCCGAGGGCCGAAGTTCCTTGTAGGTAGGGTTGCCATACGTTCGTATTTTCCCCGACATGACCTCCATTTAGGTCTCGAAATCTTCATCTGGAAGTAATTTTAAAAATTCTTCAAAAGTCAGGAATTTCAGCTTCCATCATTTTCTCCACGGAAAGAAATATGAAACTATAATGACGAGAGAGAGAGAGAGAGAGAGAGAGACTGTGAGAGGGGGGAACAGTAGAGATCTCGTTCAGTTTTCGTCAGCTAATAAGTCACGTGTACGCCTGTACGGTGTTGTCAACTTAGCTGCTAGCAGTTTTTGGGCTAGCCTGTAGTGCTATGTACTGCTTTTCCTTGTTCTTCAGCCACGAGCATTATTATAAAAAAAAATTATTTAGTGCTATTACAGACATAAATTAAATGTTGAAAGCATACCATTTTTTTTTATGGCTTATTTTACACTGTAGCGTTTTTTGTTCTTGTCCTGTATTAAAGGCATTTTAGCAATTTTCAACCATAATCTAGCCACTTTCTCTATATTATTTACGTGTGTCGACAACTATGACGGTGACCAGTGGTTGGCCAGTCTTTAACCTGCAGTGACAGTGATTGATCTTAGTCTTTGTTGTGGGTTTGTCGCTTGTTGCCACAGCTAGTGCTTACGATTTGTTGTACTTTTCCAGAGCATATAAAACGGTCACAGCTGCATCAAGGTTACATAGGCAGGATGTGGGAACGTCCTCTTTTTTTTAATGTTCAGATATGTCAACCCTACTTGTAGGTGCTATCATTCCTTAGTTATGCATCCTGCTGTCGCCTGTTGGCAGTAGCAGTGTACCACAAGTCTTAATTTATGAACATTGACACATAGATTTAAATGAGAATTATAGTCTTGCACACGGGATGTAAAATGAAACTTTAATAAATAAAATCAATGGAGGAGCCCAACCTCTTGACTTTTCGTGTTATCCTTGGAATTATGTACTTGATTATGATGATTTGTCCCCAGTGAAGACGAAGGTAATGCAAGATGTTAAAATTGTGACCTAACTCTGTTCCACTAACTATATATTAAATGCAACAATTAACACAGACGGTACAAATACTAATCTGTACAGTAATTGGAAACAGTTAGATTACACAGCATTCAACCACTTGCAGGTATATGGAGTCATAAATGAGGCTTTAAGAGCTCGGGTAAGTAAACCTAATTGTTATGTACAATAGACTTTCGCTCAATTCTACACACAATGACTGCTCTAAAAAATCAGTGGAGTTGCAGACGAGCGAAGCAACATTGATCAATGGTTGACCTATTTTATTTGTACCCAGTGTAAGAAGCCATTAAGAAACATCATACGAACATCTGCAACTTAACACCACATCTTAACATTGTCAGTTTAAATGCCAATAAACATAATTTTTATTCTTATCAATATATAATCTTATTCAATTTGTCGAGTAATAATATTATTGATTTGTAATTTATTTATTGTTAATATGGATTGTAATTTGACTCAGGACTCCTGCCTAAGCCTTTGATGTGCCGAACCAGATGTAAACAAAGCAGCTCCTGGGTGAGTGATACTTTGGGTTTTTCCTTTATTTTACTCTATTACTTCATTAAGATATCTTCTGGAAACATAAACTACTTTCAGAATTAACTTATAGCATGAGCAGAAATAAGGAAAATTGTTTTTTAATTAAGAATAAAAACATTTTGCTTAGATTTATGAGTTGTCAATCCCCAGACCCCACCAGATAGGTTATCTCAGTTTGGGTGATAAATGACATTGTATCGTTAAAATGTGATCTAAAGAATCACAACATCCTTCAGTTTCTCTGATATATTTGTCTCTCATTAATGTGATGGTGAAATGTGCATAAATTGCCCATGGTTAATTATGGGGTGAATATATCGGCGGAGAAGTGTTACTATTGTCATGGACCATTGTGACAGAATAGTAGTGAGACCATTGTAGTACATTGAAACAAAGCTCTGGATTTTTTGTGTTGATCTGGCTATCAATATAGACATACTATATTGTTGTGAAGTCTTCAAAAAGCCAACCAAACCTAACCTAATCAAATTAAAGTAAATTGTTAAGGGCTTACTTGGGCATTCTTTAGTTGAATTGTCACATTTTTGCCATTGTGTGCATGCCTATTCTGTATACATGTTGAACCAATGTCAACTTGTATGTTAATATTACTATGTAAATATGGAAATCAACCTTTAACAGTTTTCTTGGTGTTCTCCTTCCTTGAATCAACATGTTTATCATTGTTTGTGTACCTGCACTGGATGTATATATCCTAAATCTAATTGAATTTGGGTAATACAGTACTCTACTACTCTGAAACTGTATTGCAGGCTAACCAGGAACTTTAGAAAATGTTTTTATGGAAGATAACTTCTTTTTACGCCAAGAAACTCCAAAAACAATGAGGATTTATATTTAATATTTTTTTTCCAGTTTTTCATCCTGAACACTAATCCATGTTGAACCACTATATCCCTGCAACACCATTTTCATTGTTTACATGACAAGTGTTTCATACACAGCATTGTGTCCCAGTGACCATTTTATAAACATGAACACTTCCACTTCCAGGGACTGCTATATTATGTTATTTATTGTAGATAAGATGAACCAACCTAAACTAACTAACCTAGAGTGAAAGTACAGTACATTATTTTAAGTTAGGTAGATTAGATAAAATATGGAAAAGTCTCTAGGAAGTATTTAATAACAGTTCAAGTGCCACAAATGGCATTTTAATTGCTGGGGATGATATAATTACAGGTATACAGTACAGTGATAAAAAACTGAACAGTACAGCATTTTTAGTACTGTACAAGGAAAATTTTAGTACCTACTTTAATCATAAAAAAAGTAAAATATGAATTTATAGTTCATTTGTACTTACCAGAGATGATAGCAATCTCTGCATAAGTTATGGTTTAAATGAATTATGATACAGCTTCTTCAGATCACACAGTGCCTGATTTAAAATGGCCGTTTGACAGATAACTGGGCTCTTGATAGATTTTGTTTTTGTCTCTGATTTATTCATTATATTCCTGTACTGTACAGTACCATACTGGCTGCTGCAAAATTATGTAAAATTAGCTCATGTAAAAAGAGGGATACCATAACTAGCATTAATCTTTAAATGACATTGTATCTCATATCAGGAACACAGTGTAAGCTAGGTTATCTTATATTTTTAGCATCATCTGCAGTGATGAGGGACCACTCATCTAAAGTGATAACTTATGGCAATGACTGGAGCTGAGTCTTAATCATGAGAAGCCGAGCTCACGCTGTGCGGAGCGGGCGGTCGGCGGTGGCCTTGCTCACAGCTCTCTTTCCTCTGTGTGTCTCTCTGCTGTTGTGGGTGTCACAGTCTGTGGCACAGGAGAATGCCGGTGACACAAACTACAGTAACAGCAGCACCTCAGATAGAAGCTTGGATAAGAGTGAGAGTGTTGATGTTCACAAAGGAGATGCCAAACCAGTCATTTATGTGAACAACCCACAACTCTTGAGGGAAATGCAGGAACAAAGTTTCCTTCGACACACCTTTAGGTAAGATTGTGTCTTTTAGGATTTTTGTTGATGATTCTACGGGATACAGTATACTGTACTGTATAGTACTTGAAGTGGCTGTGCTATGTATTTAATAAGAAATTTGAGATTGCAGATTGTTTTTTTTAATATAATAATTTGTTAATGTATTGTACATGAAAGAGTGTTCAAGTGAATAAGCTGGTCTTGTATGTATAAAATAAGAGTAAATTTATGAAGTACAGTAGCTACTGTAAATATAAGCTGGAAGTTTTTTTTAGAGAGGAAAGAAAATAGTAAGATAGTGAAAATTGGATTGACATGGGAAAATTGATAAAGCTACACAGGTAGATGGAAAGTTAGATTGTATTATTTGGTTTATATCTCAGAAAACAACTGAGAATATATTTGTAGACATACTCCCACAACTAAAGTGTACTTGTAGAGAGTAGAAATTAAGTTTTACTCAGTACAGTATACAAATGTTTTTCACTCAGGTAAGCTGAAAGCTAATGTTGAGATCCTTGGATGACTAGTAATGTACTGTCTTGCAAGACAGAATGTTTTGTTGCATACAGTAGGTACAGGTACCCTATTTATTTGTGTCACTCATACTCAAAGGATATGTATAAATTTGTGCAGATTATCACCGGGTGGAAATGGTGATGGGAAAGATGGCAGTGTGTTGGGTGGAGGTGTACCCCTGTTGGAGCGTGCAGCAACCCTGGGGTCACAACTCAGACATATAGCCAACACTGAGTTGGGAGTTACACATTTGCAGGTGAGAGTAGGTGAATGCTCTATGTATGATGGTGGGCTTCATTGTTTAATTTTTTTACTGCATGTTCATTAGGGGGCCATCAGTTTGCTATAAGAAGATCATATATAATTTTTGGTGATTTACTTTCTATATTTGTAACATCTGTTTAAATTTTTGTAGGCTATTGAATGAAAATGTCAATAGATATCCTTATTTCAGGCCACCTTTGATGAGCTGCCATATTCAGATCTTGAACGCAGGGAGGAGGAAACTGTTAAGGAGGTAAGGATAGTAAGGATAGGGCATCTGTCATATTTATGAAACTTGTGTTGTTTATCTTTAATATATTAGATATTATATTAAGAAAAAATGGCCTGGCCTTTGTTATTAACCTAGTGTCATACAATACCTATATGAGAAGGTAGTCATGGGTTGAAGGCCAAGATTAGCCATCCCAGCAAGAGCTTTGTCTGGACTCAGGAAGTGCCTTTCCAAATATATTTGTCATTGTATATCATATATATTAGTAAGTATTTTATTTTGTTGTTTCTATATGAAAAATCATCTAAATTAGCCCCCAAAATTCCTGGCCAGGAATACAGGTATATCACAGGATATGTGACTGGCTGTACTCCCAACTATCAACTCTTTTTCAACACTTATTTCTATCAATTGCTCCATTTCTTTTGATTTCTGGCTTTTTTACCCCCCATCATCGAATTTTGCATATGGACTAATATCCCCTATAACCAGAATTTTTTGTCCCTGGAATGTTACAATATGTACCTAAAAAATAAAATTAAAATAAAAAGAAATACCAAAAACATCTCTTTGTTCTGGGCATTTGAATGACTTTTCAAGAGATTGCATCATGTGCTGAGAGCATGGGTGTTCTAGCAGCAAGGAGAACTTAGGTACTGTAGTAGGCTCAGTGCTTGGCTACTACTCTCAGGTGTCTGCATGGGACTCCTGTTATTGGTTGATGTATCTCACAGCCTATCTCCTCAAACTCTACAATTATAATGCTCTCTTAGTTCATTGTCTGCTACTATTGTACAAGCTTATTTATTCACTCACTGCTGTTTTCACATATGATCTGCATTGTGCAGTACTGTAACAGGATACAAGCAGCCAAGAATACCGTTAAAACTGTGTTAAGACGTAAAAAGTAATTACTGTACAGTTACGTACAATATACTGTACATTCAGCAAGTACCATATGTACACTACATAGCAGAGTGAACTGTGCATGCCTACTGTAGGTTAATGTGTAGAGGGTGCATGAAGAGTATACAGTACGTGACAGTTAGCAACACCTTCTGCAGTAGGACAAAGGCAGGCCATCTTATGTCATCGTACCACCATTTGACCTACCTGTATCACAAGTTCAAGACGATATCATCTGGTGTTGAGTACAGTACAGTATATACAGTAGTATATTTTGTTTATTTAATATATATAGTACTGTACCTATACGGAAATGTTTGCATAAATGAATACAGTACAGTGGTCCCTCGGTTAACGAGCACAATCAGTTCCAGCAGGTTGCTCGTTAACCGAAAATCTCGTTAACCGAAACCATTGTTTCAATGGGTTTTTGGGTAATTGGTTCCAGCTCACCGAAAATTGCCTAAATTCAACAAAAATGTTAGAAATTGACACTTACCTTGAGGTGTGTATGTGGAAGGCTCCTGGATGATGATGCTGATGTGAATTTGAAGTGGGAGGTGGAGAAGGGAGAAGAGAAGGAAGTGGAGGTGGAGGAGAAGCATTTTACTGCTTCTTGGAAGCACCTTCCATGAAAATGTCAGGAACCTCTGGACTGACAGATTCTCCACCATGAACATCCTCTCTCCTTCTTGAAGTGGAAGGCTGAGGGATAGCATCTTGTTCCCTCTGCCTTTTATTGAAGAAAGTGTCAATTGTGGTCTGTGGGGCATCTCTCCTCCTCACCATTAACTTATGTTTAAAGAAGGAGACCATTGAGTCCTCAACATGACACAAAGTTAGTTCAGTTTTTTCCACATCTGGGTGCTTTGAAGCCAGTTCCCTGAACTTCTCCCAGTGGTAAATCACATCTTTCAACTCTTTAGTTGACATATGGTCATCACTTACAATTTCCTCCTCACCATTGTCAGCCTCTAACATCTCATCCAGTTGCTTCAAGTCATCAGGAGTAAGTTCCTCCTCATGAGACATCACAAGCTCTTCGACATCATCCTCTTCCACTGACCAATGGACACAATCTCCTGGCCCAACTCTGTTTCATCCTGAAATCCCTCAAAATCATGGACTACTGATGGCCACAGTGCTTTCCATGAAGAATTGAGGGATCTAGTGGAGACTTCTTGCCATGATGACACAATCAATTTTACAGCCTCCAGGATGTTGAATTGTGTCTAACAGAACTGTGTAGAAGTTGTCTGATGACACCTAAACATTTTCTTCATGTACAACTTCTTGTAGTTGCTAATCACATTCTGGTCCATTGGCTGTATGATTGATGTAGTGTTGGGAGGCAAAAACAACACTTTCACAAAGTCAAATTGATACTCCAAAGTTCTGGCAAGTTCAGGGTCATGACCAGGAGCATTATCCATGAGGAGAAGAGCCTTTAAAGGGAGTTTATTGGTGGTTAGGTAGCTCTTGACAGAAGGGCAAAACACATCAACAACCATTCATTAAAGAGCTGTCTTGTCACCCATGCCTTACGGTTGGACTTCCAATAAACTCCAAGCTTTGCTCTTACCACTTTCTGTTGCTTGAACACCCTGGGGTTTTCAGAGTGGTAGACAAGAATAGGCTTTAATCGGAAATCCCCTGAAGCATTGGCACCAAGCAATTGAGTGAGATGGTCTTTCATGGGTTTATGCCCAGGTAAAGAGGCTTCACCTCTGGTGATGAATGTTCTTTTGGGCATCTTTTTCCAGAACATCCCAGTTTTGTCCACATTAAACACTTGCTGTGGAATATAATTTTCTTCTTCCATCAGACCTTTAAATTCCACTAAAAACTTTGCTGTCCCTTCCTTATCAGCACTAGCAGCTTCACCATGCCTAACAACACTGAAAATGTCACTTCTTTTCTTAAATTTTTCGAACCAGCCTTTGCTGGCCTGAAAATCTTCAAATTCTGTGCCTGAAGAACCAGGTTGATCTGTCTTTAAATGTTCGTAAATCTCCCTGGCTCTTTCACAAATGAATTCAGTAGAAACTGAATCACCTTTCATCTGTTTTTCCCTAATCCAGATGAGAAGTAACCTCTCAGTTTCTGCAATTAGGGATCTACTTTTAAACACCCTGGTAGATTTGTCTCTCACTTTCACTTCTTTAAATTTGTCTTTCTGTGCAAGAATTGTCGACACAGTTGATGTCGACATGCCATATTTTTTGCATAGCGCATTTGTTCTAATGCCTTGTTCATGTTTTTTTATAATTTCCTGCTTGGTTTGGATTGAAATCGCTTTTCTTGATCTCTTAGGCCCCATGCTGGATTCAAACTATGTCGACACGTGATTTTTAAAGTTAAACTAGCTGTAAATAAAGAATATTTTCTTTAAAATAACACTGCACTGGGCTATATATTGTCAATATGTAAAATAAATTTCAAAATGACCAATAATTTGCTTGGAAACACAGAAAAAAAGCATATAGTTTAAGAGAGTCTCAAGCAAGACGTTACCTCCACTGAAAACAGAGAGAGACTAACGCTTGTTTGGTGTGTAAAAAGGCTGGATGGCACGCATAAAACTAGTGACTTTACCTTCAATTATGTTCAATAATTGTTAAAATGACTAAAAATTTTAATATTAAACTTAAAATTATTGAATAGTATAAACTTCTTGATATTTTCTAAAATAGTTAGGAATTTAAGCCCTAGAACCGATTACTGTATTGGCGGACTAATACTACAGCTGGTTGACCGCCAAGTGCAAGCGATAACATGTTGAGGTCGGCTCGTAAGAAACTCGTTAACCGAGGGATTGCTCGTTAACCGAAATTAAGAATCTTATGGGAGGTAACTCTTTACCGAAATCTCGTTAACCGAGGCGCTCGTTAACCGAGGGATCACTGTACTTGTACAGCTCTGTGGCTGTATAACTACAGTTAAACCTCCTTTGCAATGGTGCTCTGTGCCAGATGCATAGTTTTGACCGGAAAACATTCACCAGTGCCCCCCCAAAATTCTGTAAATGTGTGAATTTTTCCGTGAATATGGATTCATCTTTACCTGGAAATATCTTGAACACGGAAGCATACATCTAGGTTACTTTCACTCATTATATTTTCTGTCACTCTCTCTTTACCACTGACATTCAAACATCCCATTGTGATTTATTTTTATTAGTGGAATCAAGAGCTACAGAGACTCTTCATTTGCTGACATTTGTTCTCTTGAATTACCTTGCCAAATGTGTTCTCTTATATGGAGTGATCACAAATGTTCAACCCAATTTTAAACATTGTTTACCTGATTTAAGCTCCCTTGAGTTTTTCCTCTGGGGGATATGTCAGAATGGAAGTGCTTCTTCCAATAATGTCAGCAATGTTGGAAAATTTGAAAGTAAAGGTTCCTTGAGGCTGTTAGAAAAGCTCGGTAAGATATGCTCAAAATACAAGTATATTGAGGGAAACAAAATACTGTGCTGCTTTAATGTCCGTAGAGCCACGTTGAACTTCTATAGGTTGAAAATAAATCTCTTTGAGTTCTTTATTAGTAGACATAGTCTTGCTTTTTGCTGTAACTTTGTTTATTTTTCATAATAAATATTTAAATATGGGAAGATCATTTGTATTCACCCATTACACAGTTAATATAAATTAAATTTTTTAATATAACTCTGTTGGCCTTGTTATGGTCATACAGTACTTTATCATGAGGGAAGTAAGTTTATTGAGTTGCATACCTCTCTGTGTCGGCTAGCTTTACTTTCTTGGGACTACTGTACTCCTAAATTATTACTAAATTCTTATTTTTTCTTAATAGTTCAAGCTGCATACTACATGTCCTTTCATTTGCTTTGTCAATCATCGAGAGATACATGCACTTATTATTTTCAGATGATACAGTCACTGGAACGTAAGTTTGACCTGTACTCCAGCCTTATAGGAGAGATGTTAGAATTGGTGACCAGCCACTACAGTCAGCAGAGACAAAGAGGGTTAGATGATGTGATCCCTTATGCTGATGACTACCACCCTTGCTGCCTCATACCTGATAATTACCTTGAGTAAATATCTTCCTTTCCTCATTTTCTTGTTGTTTTCAGCCATTTGATGGAAGCAGTTTCAGATTAACATAAAGGAAAAGGGGGCAGTTGTCTCAGGGTCCTCAGGTGTGAGGGAGGGGGGGGCCAACGATAAATTCACTGAATATGTATTCCAACTCATTCTGTCCCAGGATGTTAATTCTTCACACATAGATGATGAAAGATATGATGTTTGTCCATGGTCCTTCTTTCCATGTTGGCTGATATGCTGTAATAGAAATACAGTTGTGCTGTACAGTATATTTATATTTGGCTAATAATTCATTTAATTCAATAAGAATATGTATAATTAACTATGCACAACAGAATATGAAAAGGTTGCATTGCATTTGAGTGTAAATATCTCTGCAAATGCCATCACAATTTGTCAGTGATATGTAAACTGACAGGTTTGGCAATTTCATATCCAATTTAATTATTTTTGTGATTTTCTATGATTTAGCATAAAAGAAGGAAATTTAGCATCCTTTTAGCATATTTCTAATTCTAGATTATAAATTTAAGATTTATGGTGCAATACAGGGTATTATGAATTCATATTTTAATATATTAGGTGGGATCCTTGTTACTGTGTTGTCCCAGGGCCCACCCCTATATGGAAAGGGACCTCAAAATACGGTCTCTCGATGTATTACTGTATATATGATTTGTGAATGTGATTATTTGAGTTAATGAAAAAAAACAGATATCAGTAAAACCAAGTACAGTACAGTGGGGTATGCTATAACGAACGTAATTGGTTCCAGAACCTCGTTCGTTATAGGATTAATCCGTTCCAGGCCCCCGAATACAACCGCTTAACACTGAAAAAATTCTGTGGAAAATGTAAAAAATACGGTACTCTATCTTACCTTAGTATTATTCAGCATGCAGGTACCCCTAAACACTGGCACATCACTATCACTTCCACTGGGAGTCTTGGCTTTAAGGTCCTCAAACAATTGTCTGGCCTTCTCACAAATTATAGCTTCACTAATGTTATCACCTGCCATTTCTTTCTCCTTTATCCACACTAAGAGTAAATTTTCCATCTCTTCAATCACATTACACCTTGCTTTGCTAAGTCTAAAGATTCCCTTAGCCACTTGCACAGTTTTTAACTCCTCTTTATTCTTCAAAATCGTACATATAGTCGATTTAGCCATCCCATATTCGTCACTAAGTTTCGCAATGCTCCTTCCAATCTTACGTTTCTTTATAATTTCTTTCTTAGTTTCAAGGGTTATTAGCTTTCTCACTCGCTTTGGACAACTCATTGTTACAATTGTATACTTGTATAACAAAATAGTTATACAAATAACGCGAATTTCCACATCAAAAGACGAAATTTCAACAATAACAGTGGTGCACTGGCTACGCAATGAGACAAAGATGGCGCCTGACGCTCTTGTTGTGGGTCGCGGTACAACAATATTCATGCGCCAGGCGAAATAGTCCGGTATTCATCCGCGTTCGTTGTAGGAGTTGCGTTCGTTATAGCATTCTCAATTTTATAGGTAAAACCGTTCGTTATAGGAATATTCGTAGTAGGATCCGTTCGTTATAGCATACCCCACTGTACAGTATTACCCCGCTTTACTTGGTTTCACTTTCCGCGGTTTCTCATTTACGCGGTACCTTGCCAGAACCGGACTTTCACTTTCCGCTGTGCATCTACTCATATACGCGTGAAGTATAATTTTTTTATTTTTATTTAGCTCATAAAATTCATACAAATTACCCGGCCAGAATATAATTTACATTGCTGGAATTCTTACAATATGATGATCATTTTGAATATAAACATCATGGATTTTGCATTAGACATACAAATTTTAGATCTAATGTAATAATTTGGTTTACACAAAGCAAGTATTTTATCTTTTGTGCAAAATATATGAAGTTTACATTCAAAATATTCCCTGACCTGCAAGGAATCCAGAAATGTCAATTATATTATCCTAACTTCAGTCTGAGGTATTATTTATTACTAAACGTTAAAATCTAGTGTTTCACCCAATCATTTCTCAGAGAGGTAGGGGCCAGTGAGCTGGAAAGAGGGGGGAGGGGGGGAGATTTGAGTCCATTATTTGAATGGACATTAACCTGGCGACTGTATTTCTCTTAAATATTAATTGTGTGAGCATTCCATCATAAAATTTAGATGTTATTTTTACTACAACATAGGTATTGTGTCGGAAAAAGTGAAGTTTGGGGGTCGGGCCAGTCTCTATTGGAATTAATCCCATATGTTCTGTTGTTCACTTTACGCGTAAATCGGGGTACTACTGTACAGTATATTGTATGTGGATATAATCCAATAATAACTGAAGGAATTCAGTGATCATTTTTTTCTATCTTATGTTGGGGAGTTATGGTGTGTCCAGTGTTTGAAATGATTTGTTTTTGCATGGGAATTTGGATCTACCTGTGCAGTACTTGATCATGCTTTTTATTGCATACAGTATAAGAACAATTTTCTTACATGTGATGGCCAAAACAATATGGTAGATAATAGTTGTCAACAAATGGTGTTGTTGCCTCAGTTTGTTGAACTTATGAATTTGACTTTGGGCTGAAACGAAAGGGTTATACATGTGTAGCCAATCATCAAATTTTAGTTAGTTTAAAGTGTTTAAGATTCAAGTACAGTAGTTTTATTTAAAAAAAATGTAAGTACTGTATTTAATATCTAATTTATTTGTGGATAATTATAATGCTTTAAATAGCAGGCTTTTCCACTTGTAATGACTGTCCCTTTATAAAGTGCATTTATTTTATATTAAGGTATTGATAGAGCAGGGAGTCCCAGATTTTGCAAGTGCCACTGCTGTAAGATAAACTAGTGCTTCAGTATTGTTCTTTCCCAGGGCCCCAAGTAAAACAATGGGGCATAAGCAGCAGATGGCACAAACCTGATAAACCTAGCTTGACCTAGTCAATTTAATCTAACCTTGCCTGAAAATAATGCGTGATTATTATGTGAGATACTGACATAGGCTTATCCAGTGGAAAATTTCTCACAAATTGTATTCTGACCTGAGAGTTTGCATTTTTCACTTATCATTACTTATGACATTATTCATCTATGTGTACTGTACTGTATTTCCATATATTATTTCACCAAGGTAAATTTACAAAAGAAGAAATACTGAAAAACAAAAATTAAATAAAAACAAAATGACAATTGCACCTCCAATATGTATTAAAACAAGTTTTGAAGTTAAATTGGGTACAGTGAGCTAACCTCAGTAATGGGACATAAACATTGAAATATTAAAGGATAAAAAACATTCTTATTTGTTATGCTGTACTTATAATTTCCTTGGCACATAGGTGTATGAGAAAAACATAGAACAGTTTTGTATTAGTCAATGTTGCCATTACATAAGACAAAACACAATAAGGGAGGGAGGGGCTTTGTTTGTAATTCAGTAATATAAATGTACTGTAGGAATCTATTTATCACAAGTCATTGGTTCTTATTATTTCTTTTGTGGAGGAGGAGCATTAATTGTAAAAAAGTGCAGTGTCTAAATGTTAGGAGGGGGCAGTTACCACTGGTCCCAGTGCCTATGAATAAGGAAGTCTCTGTGTGTTCAGGTATCAGAACCAATTTGGTACTCGGGTCAACGAGGAGCTCCGATGTGACTCTGGGTTTGGCTCAGGAGATCATCCACTCCCAGAGGACTTCTATGCACCTCCTTACAATTTAACAGAGTGTAAGTTAATGAAAGGTTGTGTTTGTGTGTTTCTCTTTTTAAGAATGTATAATATCCTAGAATCATCTTTTATAGAAAATTAAGCATGATTGAATGTTAGTGTCAGGTGATGTGTCCACGTACAAGAAAATAACTAATAATACTTTAAAAAAGGCATAATTTTGATAAACAGTATTTTCATTATTACTAAATTTTTTTCTTAACTTCTGGGTTTTTGCTCGTAAAACACAGCTTGGAATTTTTTTCTTCATAACTGTGAATTTTCGTAAATCAAATCCTTTTAAATTAGGATCTGCCTGTATTTGGCAGTGGATAATCGATGGCTCATACACAGATAATAATTTTGTTATTTATTGATATTATTTTTATTCATATTTTTACAGTGTTTGCAATGAATTTGCGAAGATATCCTGCCATTAAGTGGCAATACTTCATGTCAGTGAGTGGCCTACACACTGAATATCCAGCCCATAGACCAGGTTTGTTTACTTTCGGATTACAGTATTAATACCCTACTGTACACAGAAGAGCCAGCAACTTTATTATAGAACAGGTTTACAGCATTTGTTTATTATACAGTAATGTTTATATCAGTTTCACTGTTTTGTTATGCGGTGCTAGCATTAGATTTTATTTTAATTTCTTTTTTAAGGTACAAGCATTGGTGCAGACTGCGGCCATTCCTCCCGCCATCGTCATGTCTACGAAGCCACTGTGAGACCCCATGGGAGGAACATTGTGTTGCTCTATGACCTGGGAGAAGCACTCACCCCAAGACTGCTTTTGACAGCTAAAGCAATTGGTAAATTACACATATTCATAGCTCTTGCTCCTCAAAGATGTTTGCTTTTAGGGAAGTACACTAGATTTTTCTTTGTCCACACTCTTACTGAGGATCCTTTTCAGCATTTTGTTCTTGATGGACAGCATGTTTGAGGCCACCTCTGTATATAAAACAAAGGGATAATCTAGATATTAACCATTGTGTTAAGTTTCTAATATATATATTTTATGTTGTGTCCTGCATATGGGTATTATTTTAACGGGTCCCCATGTTACGAACCTCCGAGCTACGAACACCCGTACTTACAAGAGTGATCTCATTTTTTACTGTATTTTTATAATAAAAATCCAGCTCTATGTTTTAATGTTTGCTAGTACAGTAATATGCCTGATAGCCAGAATCTTTGACCCCTAGAACTTTCCAATATGTTGATAAAATCCGAGAAATCTCAAAACCATGTCTTTGTTCCGGACATTTGAATGAATTTCTGAGCTACTACACCATGCGCTGAGCATGTGTTGAGTGTGTGGGTGGGCTAGCTGCATGGAGAACTTACAGGTGTAGGTCATAGGCTCAGACTGCTCATCCACTGTGATTGGCTACTACTCTCATGTGACTGCATGGGATGCCTATGATTGGCTGATGTATCTAGCAGCCTATCTCCTCAAGCTCCAGTTTCATGACATGCTCTTAGTTAAATTGTTTGCTGTCATTGTATAAGTTTGTTTGCTCGCTCGTTGCTGTTTTAACATACGATCTAAGTTGTGCAGAACTGTACATTACTGGACCAGGATCCAACCGGCCAAGAATATCGTTAAGTTAGTGTTAATACGTGAAAAGTGATTACAGGCAACCCCCAGGATACGATTGGGTTACGTTCCTGAAAACCCATCGCTAAGTGAAATATCATAAATAGGAAGCATTATAAGCTGGCACTCAATGGGATACGTTCCTAGCCAGTCCCCAAACACACATGTATTACGGACAAAAAGTTTCCTTCAATACTACTATCAGTACAAAACAAGTAAACAACACTCACCACATCATATTGGGTAAGTCTGGGCATTATCACATGTCTCCTTCGAGGCTAAGTGGACTCTTGTAGGTGGAGTGGAGACGTCACTCTGACTCCCACACAGCCTCTGGGAAGTCTCATGCTGCTAAACAATGTGAAGCTTCACCTCAGAGATATGGTTAGCTTAGATGCCTTGGCCTTCCCAGATATCTTCAAAGTTACACTGCTCACTTCACAGTCACAAAAACAAAGCAAAAACACCTGTCACAAAAAACAGAGAAAATATCACTTCACAGTCACCATAACACAGTTCAGTCTAAATTTTAGTGCTGTCCTCTCACTGTACAAGAGAAAAAAACCACTGATGATAAGTACAATGTACGATGCTGGCCGATGATTGTAGAGCCATGTGATGGTGGGTTTACGATCGACAAAGAACCGGGCACAGGGCTGTAGTGCTTGGGTTGGACGTGTGGCAGCGCGTGGGTAGGTTGACAGGTGAAGGTAGAGATACATGGTGCATAGGGTTAAACATTGTTTCCTTATAAAATCTCACTGACTTGACATAAAAAAATATAACTTGCATTGCTGGAATCCTTGCAAGATGGCGATTAATTTTAGTAAAAAACAACCCATAGTTTCCACTAGAGAATTTTTTTTTCTGACCAATGGATATCGGTGGCTATTTGATGGATATCGTTAAAGCGAGCTGTTTTGATTGTGCCTAGCGAGATGTTGTTAATTTATAACTATCGTTAAAGTGAAATGGTGCATCTCTGGATATCGTATTTTGGAGGTTACCAATACTGTAAATACAGTAAGTATGAGAGTAACGTAATACAATACATAGCAGAGTGAACAGTGTTCAGTATACCTACTGTAGGCTAGTGTGTAGAGGGTGTATGTACAATACTGTATACAGTACATGTACAATCCCTAGGAGAGTGACATTTAGGAACACTTTCTACAGTAGATGGTACAGTACTGTACAGGAGAAAGGCAGGTCATCCTGTATTATCAAACATCACAGCTGAAGATGACAGCATCTGCTGGTGAGTACAGTACAGTATACAAATACTGTAGTGTATACAGTAGTATATTTTATTTGCCTCTGTCTACCCAGCAGTAATTAGGAACCTGGATGTTAATCGATTTGTGGATTGTGTTCCGGGGTAATGGTTAGTCAGTGCAGTTGGCGAGTTGTCCAGTCTTCTCGGACTATTCCTTGACACTGGGTCATGCAACTCATTAATTCAGGGTGTGGTTGTTGTGCTGGCGACAGTTTCTATGCCTAGGTGGCCCTTGGGCTGGCAATCCTCAATCTCGAAGGGCAACCATTATGATTATTATATTATATTTTATTTATTTACAATATTCTGTACAATATATACAGTAGCTTTTACATTAATGAATACAACTCCTTGGCGGTCCGGCTGCATTTAAGCTAGTGTTCAAGCTAGTAGAAGCTGCCTAGCTGCTTATCCCTAGCAATGATGCTCCATGCTAGACATGTAGTTTAGACTGGGAAACATTTACCAGTGCTCAGAAAAATTGCGTAAATGTGATATTTTTTCCTGGAAGAAGGATTCGTCTCAGTACTGTACCCGTAAATCTCTCAAACATGGAAATGTTCTGCACCAATTGTTCCAGCTATCGGGGGTATTACTGTACTTATGAATGTGGTATTATGTTGTTTTGCCGTGCACTTCTGTGCATTCTTTACCTGTTTTATTGACATTATTTGTTATTGTTATTTATGGGTTATGATTTTAGAAAGAGGGATGGGTTGTATTCATATTTTACTGTGAAATTAATATGGTTTTGAGTTATAAACAAATTGACTTACGAACTGTGTCCAGGGATGTACCAAGTTACCTAATCTGTTTGTATCTCGGAAAACCCCTATACTGTATATAGAGAAATTATTTATATTTCTTATTACAACTACTGAAGTTTTTATTATATTGCTGCTCTTTTGACAGGTCACCAAGTCATTTCAACTCTGACACTGAGAGACAACATTGCAATGCTGGGCATCTCAAGCAAAGTTTTTCATCCTCCTGCATCATGCTTGAGGTCCACGCTTGTTCCTGCCACTCACGATGTAAAACAAACCATCAGACATTTTGTAGATTACTTGGAGATACAGAATGGTATGTTAAATGTATTCAAATTATTTTACATACAGGGGTAGTTATGGGCTTTTTTATAAATTTTGCTTAGTTTTAAGGTTAATCTCTTTATATAATATAAATTGCTCTGAATGTAGCAGTAATGTTGTATTGATTGGTTAAAAAATGAAAGGTAGAAAATGGAACAGCAATATAGAATGAGGACATGAAAGGTTCAGTCATAGAGAGCTTAAACTGAAAAAGGAATGATGTTAAAAAGGAAGAATTTATGAATAAATCAAAAGACATTAGACAATTAGTTTTAGAATAATAAAGAGAGCAATAGATAGACTGTAGAGTGTAGGCGATGTACATTGCATAATGTTGTTTTACCAGACATTAGTAAGCAGGAGGTGTAGATCTAATAACCCAACCCTCTACTGTTATTACCAAAAAAGAAAAGTAAAAAATCATTGACACAATAATGAAGGAAATGAACCTGACTGTCTTGGGTTTAAGAGAAGCAGAGTTTAGGGACACAAAGAATATATCTGCTGTGGATGTGTGAAGGGCATAAGGTTAGGAGCATATGAAAATGTGTGGTAATGGGCTCTAGGACAGCTCCCCGTATAGGAAAGTTGCCCCCGATTGCCAGTGAATCTGTATCAGAAAGAGAGGTGCTATACATAGATAAATGGAGAGAATGGTAAGTGAAAGACTAGTAAATTGAGTGTGTAATTTGGAGGTAGACGGTAGGAGGGAAGGCAGGGTGAAGGCGTACAGTACTAGAAGTAAGGGGAATGGTCGTCTAGGAAGTTGCATTGTACATGTATGGTAAGAGTAGGGGAGCAAGGGGTCAAATGGTTTATGGGGATATTACAGCAGTTAGAATGAATAGATGACAGCAAATGAAGAGGGTGTCCTTGTTTGCTCTTGGCTCTACCGGTAGTCACCCACTAGCATGGCATGAAAGGGCTTTCAAGATTGAGGTAAAACAAGAGATATGTATGAGGTGAAGGGAATGTTGTGAAGATAATTTGTATTTCGTAAAATAAATAGAATTAAACTTTGCTATATCATCATATAAATATTTTCTCCTTTTACCAATAATTCAGGATGATGGTTTGTTTTTCCTGCAGAGCGAACTAATCACACTCTTGGTCTGACGACGGCTCTTGATGTTATTGCAAATACAGCATTTGATTCAACTTCACATAATACATCAGTGTTACTTGTGTATGTGAGCCGTGGAATACTGGAAACATTACGCCAAGCTCGCACAGTTATTAAGACGGTTGCGGAGAGGATGGAGACTATGAATACCAGAGTTGTCATCAGTACATTTGGTCTTGGACATGTCAGTGGTAAGTGAAATTGGCAAATGTTAGCTTTCACTCATCTCTGTGAATACTAATATCTCCTAGTTAGCTGGAGCAATTGGTGCAAAGCACTTCTGGGAATGAGAGATTTCCGGGTAACAAGACGACTTTCTTGACCCCAGAAAGAAATCCCCCATCCCCGGAATTTGTCTGGGTACTGGAATTTCCTCGGAATTTTCCAGAATGATGTTTTATTTAATCTCTCAAAGCTTGAAAAAAAATCCCCATCCCCAGAATTTTCCGGGTACATACCAAAAAATTTTCTAGGAATTTCCGGAAAATTATCCTGATTTTCATTTCTCATAAACAGAAAAAAATCCCCCATCCCTGGAAATCTCCAGAATTTTCTGGGTACCGGGAAAATGTTCTCAGAATTTTCCAGAAAATGTGCCCCTCGGAAAATCGTTCCCAAAGTCAGAATTTTCCGGAAAATTCCGGCTTTGGGAACGATTTTCCGAGAAAATATCAGTTAAGGTTACCGGAGAGTTCCGATTAAGAGGGATTCCGGATAACGGAGATATTACTGCTCACTTAGTTGTTTAGAATTTTTTTTTACTTGCCTGCACAGATTATGATTAGGACTGGTAAGTATTAACTTATGTTTTAAAGATTTAGGTTCCTGTGGTTATTTGTAAAGAAATTTTCTGTATTATTTTTGGTTGATAACACTTTTGGGGCCTCACGGGGTGCATGGCGCCACCACCCAAGGTGAGCACGGCATGCTCAATTGATGGCAATTGCGGCAAAAATGTTTGCATTACTTTTTTGTTTCTGACATTATTTTCCATCATATTTAATATTTTTAAATGTGTATATCTTAAAAAATGATTGCTATACAATACTGTGGGGTATGCTATAACGAATCTAATTGGTTCTAGAACCTTGTTCGTTATAGCATTCGTTCGTTATAGGATTAATCCGTTCCAGGCCCCCAAATACAACCACTTAACACTGAGAAATATAATATAAAATTGTAAAAATTGTAAAAAAGTGCATAAATATGCATCTAAACCCCTGAAATAAAGAATATCATTAATACTTGTAATAAAAAAAACAATAAATTAGTAAAAAAAAAAAAATTCGTTGTAGGAGTTTCGTTCGTTATAGCATTCTCAATTTTATAGGTAAAACCGTTCGTTATAGGAATATTCGTAGTAGAATCCATTCGTTATAGCATACCCCACTGTATTATACAAAAAAAGTTTAAGCTAACACCAACATGTGAAAACATCAGTGAATATCATGGAGTGAGTAGCATCTGTGCACTGTAAATCCTTGGGACACACTGATGCTAGCAGTTCCGCAGGACAGTTACCCTGACATCTCACTTTCATCACAGTTGTGTGGCAAGAATGGGAAGACAATGGCACACATTTTGAGACTTGAAACTTGAAAATCAAGAGATAAATTGATTTTTAGCAAGTTTATGAAGTTGATGACTATAATTTCATCATCGTAATGGTAACGAGTTTTTTGCATGACGAAATATTCGTCATCAGCTTGCCAAAGTATTAAAGGTAGTATCACCAGTTTATTTGATGAAGACAATCATAAAAGCTTAAAATTATTCTTAATGGATTAGGTAACTTATGTGCAGGATTTATTTTGAAAGCTGTTTATTTTATTGTACAGTGTACGCGAAGATAATAAATAGGAGTATTAACTGTATATTAAAATTACCGATGTTGTGTTGGTAGAAGTGTGGGAAGTTGTGAAATTGTAGAAAAAAGGTATTAATGATGATTTTATCTAAGGTTCATGTATATAGAACTGTTGTGAATGTTAGGCTTGTGGGCTAAAGTGACTAGCATGAAAAATTATGGCAATGCATTTGGCTGCCTCTCATTTTTCAGCTGTGTCAGTTTGGGTATGAGGTGCAATATATCTACTAGGCCACTGAGCTCCATGTTAAGACTTCTAACATATTTATTAAATTCTCACCCTGAAATCTAAAACAGATGACAATATCGGGACATCTTAAATAATAAATAAAGTCCAGATAAAAGTATTTTGTCATATGCCTTTTTCAAGTTGACTTGCTTTCATGTTACTTTTCATTTTTTTAACCACAAGGTGTACAGGGCTGCCTCCGAGCTGAATAAAATTGTCTACTGTAAGCCAAATAAGATATTAAAAGTGGCCTCCTGATAGTGAAGAGGTTAATTACCTAATGTCCTCTACTATTTCTTTACTTTTTTCGAAGATTTATGTTTCCTTTAAGTTTATTCAGTGCAAAAGTTTGGAAAAAAGGAGAATTATAGACAGGTAGAGAGACTCTACTTTATAAAATAAAAGAAAACTTTGTATTTTGTTTTTCAGGTGAACCATCTTTGCCAATGCAGTTTTTAGAAGCTCTGTCTCACCAGGACTTTGACAAGTATAATGTTAATTTTACAAAAATAACCTATCGGGGAATGGTGGTTGAACTGGATTCTACCCTGAGTGTGGCTCCACTCATTAACAACTTCTACAATGTAGTGGAAGAGCCAAAGGCGTATGACAGCGGCCCCGAAGACCTTGTGATCTCTGAACCCTATTGGGATGGTGACAGTAGAGGTTAGCTTTTTCATTGTTTATCTGACAACCTATTATATGAATTTTCTTTTTAGCAAACTGAATAATGTGTGATGTGTAATACTTTAACTAGAAGTTTAACTTTGCTTGATAAAACCAGGAACCATAAACAGGAATGAGCCATCAGCATTACTAAGCTTTTGTGTAGGATTAGTTTAGCAGTCAGGTGTTTGTATTTGAATACAGTAATGATGTTCGTCATTTGTTATTCATTAGATTTATTAATTAAAACAGTTATGCCAGGATGCTTCATCAGGCTCACACTTCTCAATAAATCATTAATTATAACAGCTTATTTATGTAATTCTTTTATGCAGCTTTACAGTTACAGTATTATTTGTTTAATTTTATAAGGTAATAAGATTGGTAAAAATAGGTGTAGATAGATGTGTGGCTAATTGATGCCTGGTGGGATGTGGTGGTTGGTAGTCAGTTGATGAACAGCAATCAGGTAAGAGATTTTGCTCATGCCTTTAAAATTTTCTGTATTTTATATTTAATTCCATAAATATTTGTATATACAATTCTGTACAGTATACTGTATAATTTATTTTATCGGTTTTTATGTGTATGAAAAGTTTTCTTTTGGGAAGCATGGCTATGAGAATAACACAACGTTTTTTGAAGACAACTCTATGGACAAAAAATTTTTTGAACCAGCTTGAAATATTAAATTATGAATATCGAGGTATTGAAGGTTAGTTGTGTTTGCATATGCAGGCTATACAGTACTGTACAGAATAAGATATGCCAATAAATCAAGTATATATCCTTTAACTTACACAGATATGATTGTCTCCCTGACGAGAAGTGCTCAGACCAGAGAAGGAAAGATAATTGGAGTGATGGGTATAGACGTACCTCTTGCAAACCTCCTAGAGGACATTACACACTTCAATTCTCCAGCTCGATCCTATGCTTTTGCTATAGATTCTCGAGGTTAGTGGGAATATTTGGGTTAACCTTTAAGCCCCGGGTTAGGGTGCTGCTGGCAGTAACCCCCCCCCCAATGTGGGAATAAATCAAGAAAAAATCAACTTTAAAAAAAAAAGTGGGAATAGGCGTATTTTCTGGAACGTCACCTGGGGCGCCCTGGTCGGACGTTCTGGAATGTCACCCAGGGCCTAAGGGTTAAGCTAAAATGCTTGTTTGTGTAACGTATTGTTTGATTTATGAAAGGAGGTGTATATTTAGTCCTATTTACTGCTGCTTCATTCTTTTTTTATTGTATTTATTTCTTCAAACTGGAAGAACTATGGTAGGTGCAGTTAGTATTGTATAAATGTTTAGGTTTTAAGACAACAAAGATAAGACAGCGAGGAAGTCAAAATATGAATGGAAAAAGTATGAAGTGAATATGATAATTATGATTTTAAAAGGTATTGTACATTGTAATGTCTGTAATTATTTGTAATGTATTCTTGAGTGACAGTATTTAAAGGTACAGTAGCTCCATATGGGTTTTCTTGCCATTAAGGTTGGATTTGGTTAATACTGGTGATTACTCATACATGATAGTTGGTTTAGGGTAGAATGTTGAATGCAAGAAAATTAAAGGATTAGTATTCTCTTTTCTTAATTATATTTCTCATATTTCTCAGGTAACATTCTTGGTCACCCTAAGCTTGGTCGACCAGAGACATGGACTTCACCTCTGATTCCAACAGATGTAACACTATTGGAGCAGATCCCTGGCTTCAGCAGTGTCAGAAGGGACCTCATCAACCTGTCTTCGGGTCATAAATACCTCAGTGAGAATAGTGAAGATGGGAACCAGAGGGTAAGATACATGCTTGTACAGACAAGGGTCACAATGATCCATATTTTTCACTAGCCCTTGGGCCAATGATTCACTGTGTGTTGGTTGGTCAAAGAAGTTTTACTTTGTCTCTAAATTAAAGTAATATTTCTTTAACCATTTGAGTACATTAATGGCAACTTGTGGTCTTTACCCACTATATGAGGAATATCGAAAATAGAAGAAAATCATAACATTTGATTCTAACCTTAACTCCTGATTTACACCATCAAAGTTCAGATGGCAGGGGGGAATAAACAAAGAATCACTTCAATCTCATGTGGGACCTTCTTGAATGGACACATTGCTTGTGGAAGCTATTCCACTACTACCAGCATGTTCTTCATCATTCAACTTTCCCTAAAATTCACTAGATTTACAAATAAAATCTTGAGGAAAGTCAATATCATCTCTTACATTACTGTCACTATGCATGGGAGAATCATCCTTGTCTCAAGAATCAAATATAAAGGTGTCAGTTTCCTCCTGTGTGGGGTGTTATATATGATTGGACTGTGATCATCTTTATTTGTTAAATATTTTGCCCTAATGCCGTTGAATAAGAATGATAGGTGTGTTTGGGATACCCATACAAAGTTATTCCTCTCTCTCCAGGATGAGTTACACTACTGGTGGTGTCGTTCTCTGTCATGTGGATGGGTATTTGTGGTAGCTTGGCTTGATGCAGGTTTGCCACACAAGAGATTGAGTAGGAATGTTCGCCCACTTCCACCCACTGCACTCTTCCACCGCCTTGATCTTTTGTCTCCAAATGAAGCGCTGGTGTGTCGCCATTTTAATCAAATGGCTACTCTTGGTGAGAACTTTACCTTGTTAAAAATTACAACTGAAAAGCTTGTGTTTACTTGCATAACTCCAGTGTTGAGGTGAAGGATATATTTAAGGTTGCTTATGATGTGATGGAGATATTTGAGCTGTAGTGTGAAAGAAAAGCCAGGCACTGCTGAAGGAATATCTCCGGCACATGGCCACTACACCTACAGTATTATGACCAATACATCAGGGTGATTCTCAAATACACACAGTAAACTGCAGGCTGTATTCCTGGAACAGTTGCATTATTACAATACAGTAACTGTTCAAGATTCCCTCCCTCTGCATCACATTGTGTAGAGTTATGTGCAAAAAATTACACAACAATCTGCAGCTGTTTCACTCCAACCTCACTGTCATTACCTCAACCTCTTTCAAGTGCTGTAGTTAGGAAACTGCGGATTCCAACATTTTGTGATATTGAAGTTGTGCTTAAGAATTGTCCCAGGAATACGCCTGCAATTTATTGTGCACGTAATTAAGAATCACGCTGTATAAAGTGGAAGGCTAATTGTGCTGGACTGATTTATTCTATCAAATTACAATATTCATAATGTAATTTCTCATGTTGTGCGCAATATGAAATGATAGTTAAATGACTGGTAAATAATTCTTTGGGACATTTTACTAAAACGTTCAGTATTTATTGCATGTGTTTTGGGTATCAAGTTCTATCTACAGGAGCGAACACAAACACCTGTAGAGTTTTCATAGGTTCTATTTACTGGATAAACAGAGATACACAAGGGAGGTGGCGCTCCTTACTCTGTCTGGGGGTCAACTAGCCTTTCGGGCGACATGTGGTAAGTGATACATTAGCAGCTTCATATGCCGCCAGGCACATTAATTAAGCGTGTGGGACATGGTAAATACATTGCCACACGCTGCTAGCTAGGCTGAATAAATAGTGTATATAAATGGAGCACATACATAATATACATACAGCATACATAATATACATACATTTATTTTTACTTATCTGTATCTTGTATTCCTTTTCTACTGTACAAGAAAAGGTTGCTGGAGAATCATGTGTTGATGTAGTTGCTGGATATCCTTTTTGGTTTATTCTAATGTTCTTTCACACACTATGTAATACCTCCATCACTCATATCCCATACTCATCTCTTAACATTATTTAATTTAACCTTCTCCAACCTAACTAATGTAAACTAACCAATTTAAATTTAACTAAACCCAACCTATTTTAACTTAACCTAACCCAGCCTAATCGAACTCACCCCAACCCAGCCCAACCTGTTGTAACTTAACCAATTTAACTTAACCCAACAAATCCAAACGTAATGTACGGTAGCCTAATCATGCTCAATATTCTTTCACTTTATCCTCCTCCTTCTTTATGGTGTTCCCTATTTATTTTGTAAGAAAGCATATGATAACATTAATTGTGCTTTACAGATGGCAGTACAGTCTTCCTGTCTGTTGGCTCATACGTGTCACCCTTGAGCCAGATAGCCAATGGACCAGAGACCTTAGGTGCTGTGCAGAGTATTACGGCATATCTCAGTGACAGTACACAGCTTATTGCTAACCCTGGTTTGAGGCTGGGTGTTCGCACAGATGCAACGGCTCTTTATCAGATCACCGACCTTTGGAAAAAACAGTTTCATAGTAGTGAACTGAGTAAACATATTGTTAGAAGGTATGTGTGCTTAGTTAGTTGCTTGCTTTTACTCTACTATTCTTTCTATAAGTTTTAATCTCTAATATTTCCCCATATTTATATAAGGTAGATCAAGGAGTTCATGGGCTAGAAAGAAGTAGAGAAATAATGGGAAATTGGTACAAGACAACCATTGTAAATACTCATACATTGTATGTGTAGTGTAGGAAATGAATCATTAACATCAATATTGATTCACATTGCTTGCTTTTAACAAGAAGTGGTGTGTGTTGCTTGATTGTTTGATATAACCTCTTTGAAGTGTGAGGCCAGTAACATGACCCATAACCTCAATAGGGCTACTTCTAAATCTCCACATTAATAGATACTATGGATAAACTATGAAATTGATGAAATAAATAATAATCTTTGGCACTTCAGGTATGCTGCAGCACCCTCAGGAGTGACACTCATGTATCCTGGGACTCTGTTGGATCGCGCTTATGACCCTCGCTCACAGGCATGGTATCTTGGTGCTCTGTCTACCCCGGGAAAAGTAGTTGTATCAGCACCATACCTTGACCCTGGTGGTGCTGGTTACATAATCACAGTGTCACACACAGTCTATCAGGTAGGCTTGTATACATTGAACCCTCGAAGATCCGGACTAATAGGGGGGGACCACCTGTTCGGAAAAGCCAATTGTCCGAATCTTCCGGCAGATGTACTAATGTATAAAAAAGATAAATAATGATATAAAATATACCAAAAATACAGGACATATTATCCTGACTACTGGGGTTAGTTATATACACTTTTTCCCTGTGAAAAAGCCATAATTTTGATTAACATATTACTGTACTCTTTTGTATTAAAATGTACGTACTGTGCTACACCAAATGTCTAAAAATTTATCTCTTATGCAAAATATATGATGTCTATACTCAAATTATTCGCTGTCTTGCAAGGATTCCAGCAATGCAATTTATATTATGCTAACTTTAGTCTGTGACATTTTATATGATAAAACTTTTAAGCCTAAAACTTAAAACTGTTTTGGGAATGCTTCTTAGGGAGGCTTCCGAGCCCAGAACCCCCAATTTTTTGTCCAAATCTTCCAAAATCCGGATTTACCGGGTCCGAATCTTCGAGGGTTTACTGTATTAACTTTACATGTTGTGTTCTTGGGGGGTTTAGGGTATAAAGATAGCTAGGTCTTGATATTCATTACCAATAAAAAGGGATAACTTGATAATACAGTTACATCTCACTTAACAAGCAACATGTGTTCTTGAAAAAGTGTTTGGTAGGTGAAGTCTTGCTACATGAGACACGTTTTCCCATAGGGTCCCATGTTAACTGAATTGTATTCCAGCCTTAAAATTTTTGACACAGAAACCCAGGTTATAAATTGACTCTGAAACCCAACCATGCAATATTAAATTTGATTACCAGAGTTGAAGATCTACAGGATACTGCTTGTGTTGACCTTGCATTGTTAGCATAGAAAACAAGATCATAAGTTCACTAAACCAGTTCTGTTCCCACATTGATAAAGTATGACTCTTGCCGCCTGCAATCTATCAAATCAGAGCATAAATACAGTCGACCCTCATTAATTCGGACCCCTTTAATCAGGATTTCGGATAATTCGGACAAAATCTTAATTTTTTTTTTTTTTTTTTTTAGATTTGTATGAATATTACCTATGCGGACCTTAACCTAAAATGCTGGTCCACCCACTGCTGGGATAAAACACCAGCATCTTTTTGGTTAAATGTAATATCTCTACCACTAGTGTGGGGGGGGGGGATGCAACTTTTAGCTTCAGACATGAAAAATATTTACCATTTACTGCCAGTAAACAATGGAAACGTAAAATATGTGCCAGTTAGTAATGAAAAGTTGTGCAGTTCCTTCAGCAAATGAAGCTCACCAACTTACAATAGGCTAAATTACCTTACAACGTGTTTTCAGTAGTCTATGTTGGAGTTCTTAGCACAGGCTAACTTATCATATCATATACGGTATCACAGTTCTCATTGATCTACAAAAAATACCGGTAATAAAAACCTTTTCGATATTTCACACTTAATATAATACCCGGTAATCTACTTCAACTTCCTATTGTTTACAACGAAGCATGACGCACCACCAGCTGTTGAGTATCAGCTAGACCAGGGGTTTTCAAACTATGGGTCCCGACCCTTCAGTGGGCCGCGAATTAAATAAATTGGGTCGCAAACTAAAAATGGGTCGCGAAAATAAATAAGAAAAAAAAAATAAATAAAATGGGTCGCGAAAATAAATAAGAAAATAAAAATAAATGCACCATAATTTAGGCTTGGTTATTGTAATGTACACTCCACAGTCTAGGAAGCGACTGCAAGGAGAGCATTTCCTGATTCTTTCTTTACCTCTCATGTCATCCGTTTTGCGCAGAAAAACTCGTAATCGTAGTTTTTTCCCCCGTAATCTAACCTAACTTAACCTAACTTATCCTAACCTAACAATAATAATCATAACATTAATAATAATGATAAAAGTATTCATATCATACGCCTGGCAGCGCCAAACGCACGAGATGAGTTATTAGTGTTATTATCATTATTAGGATTATAATTGTTAGGTTATAGGTTAGGTTAAATTAGGTTAGATGAGGGAAAAAACTACAATTACGAGTTTACTCATTTCATATCATTACACTTAGGTTTAATGGGTTGCAATTCAAATTGTTGTTCTGGCTGTGAGTCGCAGTAAAAAAAGTTTGAAAAACACTGAGCTAGACGGTACACGTGTTTTTCGAATCGTTTTCAGTTAAAGAACTGTTACATCACACGTATATTTTACCTAAACTGCGCCTGAATGAATATATTCTCAGAAATAAATAGTAGTTTTTGCTGAAACGTGATGTATTTTAATGTAAAATAGGATAAAATACATGACGAAAACAAAAGATTTTACCTAAGCTTCCGATGTTCTTGAGATGTTATTCGTTTTTTTAATAGTTTTTGCTTAAAATACTGTTATATTACAATGATATTCTATTCATACTGTGCTTGATATAATACATTCATGGAAATGTAATATTTTTGCTGAAATTACTTACATATTACAGTGGAAAGTGGGATAAAATCGTGATGAAAACAATGACTGAAATATAATGCAATATTAACCCATAAATCAGTTAATTCGGACAATCGGCTAAAACGGACACCCTTCCCCCCTATTAGTCCGAATTAACGAGGGTCGACTGTACTGTTTATGTTGTACCTCCAGAATCTGTCGCTTCAAATTCACAGTGCAGTACATCCAAGTCCGAATTAAAAATTTCTACCTTAAGCAGAGCATCAAGCTTCCAAAGCTTTTGCAGGGCATCCCAGAAATTTTGACATGGTAATTTATCACACCAACCAACACTACCACTTTCCAGTTCATTCTTTAAAATTACTGTATAATTACAGTAAACATTATTTTGTTTAGTTCTTCTTCAATACTTTGGGATTTGGTAATGTTTGGTGTAATATACCGTCATAGTAATGTTGATGAAACACTTACGGTAATAAATTTGGCAATAACATTCTCTCACGCCTGCTAACATTATTGCTGCCCACCTCACTCATTTCAGATATTTTTACAGTAATCTTGGTTTTGCATAGGGAAAGGGAAGAATAATTTCAATTAGTTATTTTTGTAAAAAAAACTTTGGCTTGCATATGTGTAGGGACTAGCTGCGTGTGTAGTTGGTGTATGTTGTGGAGAGTGGCTGCATGCATTTGACATTCTACTGGTAGTCAGCATTTGAACAGATTCTATGTCATCTGCTGCCTTCTTATTCTACTGTAGCAGTTCATCCATCTCAACTATTTACATTTTACCTCAAATGACATAGGTTTCCTTTGCTTTTTGGTTTTAGAAGCACTCGTGTCACTTAATGTTCACTTTAAACTCATGATTTTAATGGTTGCCATTGGTAAATCATGAAAGAACACCAAAGTTTATTAAGTCAGTGCAATGTACATTAAAAGTAAATGGCAGTCAGGGTAGAACTGAGTACAGTATTGTAGTGAGGATACAAATAAACTTTGTCCAAGGCACATCCAGAACATGTTAATCCTTCGCTCCCACATTGATTTACAACTCTTCATGTAACTGAACTATGCTTACTAAGTTTATCCTTTCCCATTCAGTTATTTTATGTATACGAGTATACCAGTGCTCCTGCTTCTAAATTCTAGTGTATTAAGGTTGAATTGATATATGAACTCTTTTATAGGGACGATCAGCTGCCATGCATTCTCCTGCAGATCCAGTAGTGGCTGTGCTAGCAACGGACTTTACGCTTGGCTATTGGTACAAGCTGTTACTTGACCTAGAGCCTTCATGTGGCACTGATGGTAGTCCTGGTGAGTGATTATGCCAAGCTAAACTCATTAATTTTCTTGATGCACCTTGCTTACTAAAGTTGATGTACAGCCTCGTTCAAGATTCTTCGAACACTGCTGGAGACAGCTGGCAACTCAAGGCCGTTTGTTTACTATAGTATGTAGTATAATATAATATGAAACAACAAAGCCCTGCCATTAAATTAAGCAACGGGGAACTAAGTACCGGGTAACCAATCACCGATCACTTTTACATTTATTCATAATTTTTACTTAGTACTACGAGTATAGTAATAAACGGCCTTGAGTTGCCAGCTGTCTCCAGCAGTGTTCGAAGAATCTTGAACGAGACTGTACATTACAACATATAGCCACAGAATATGCCCATATTAAATAAAACTATAATAATTTTTTATTACATTAACACTTTCACACTGATTATGTGACTAATTTTTTCTTAATTTATTTGTCTTGTCACAATAGCAAGAGAGAATGAATGCCAGTGAAAGAGAGTGGTTGTGTTTCCACTTCGTTTTAGCTACCCTGCAATGAAGTGGTAATGGGTACATAAAAGTAAACAAAAAAAGTTGGATTGGTTCTTGAAGTCCTGTTTTGTAATAAGTTGCAATAAAAAGATTCATGTACTGTATGTTGCTAGTCACATTTATGGATTGGAGACCAAATGTACCTCCAACATTGATGGCTGATAATAATCAAAGGATTAGTAATTCTCTCCCATCATGACCCTTCATAAAAAGGGACATTAGATGTGCCAATTGCCACTAAAGGATGAGAGGTGATGTGTCTTGATGCCACAGTAGCTTGCCTTACATAGTTCACTATCAGCCATCATTCTAACAAAACTTCACAATACAATAGACCTTCGGAGAAGAGAGCATATCTAATTCTCAATTTTCCTGTTCAATTAGAAGATGTAATTTCCAGGAACACTTGAAATATAAAAACGACTCAAAAGTTGCTAACAATGATCAGCTCTGAGACGTTAACTGTACTGACAAAATGAAAAGTCTACTGAAATTAGCTTAAGTCCTTTGTGTTATCCACAATAAATTTAACTTAGTAAACACAGCCTCTGGTGCTATGAAAAGAGTTAAGGAAGTGCAGATTATGTTAGTAAAATCACAAAAATTCTAACTGCATAGTTGCCACAGCTAGTTCTTTTGAAAGGATTCATGAATCATCTGCCAATGATGAGCCCTGAAATGTCTGTCCCTGCACTGTGTCACAGATATAACACTGTGTTTAAATGACTCCTTGGAGTAATAAAACAAAACCTGTATAAGTCAATTGTCTTACACTGTAAAAGCACTTTTTTTTAAAACCTTATAGCAGTGTGTGCAGGGCAGAGATAAACAAAATGCCTTACTCTCTTAAACATTGTTTAAGTCAATTGACAATCATCCCCATCCCTCACGGGCTCACAAAACCTATTCAGAACGAGCTTCTTCTCACAAACTTAGGAATTATGTAACTAATAATATGGTTACTAAAGCCAAAAAATCCTTTGGCATAGAAAATAGATCTAATCTTGATACCCAGTACTGTAAAAGAATACATATGGTAACTAATATTCGTGGGCAAAGCAAAGAAGACAAGACACAATATAGCTCCTAGCCTGGCTGATTTGTCACTCCTGAGCTGTGCTTAACCTATCCCAGTGAGCGAATGGAAAACACAATTATTAATTCTGTTTACCTGAAAATTTTTATATTACATGTATAAAACTGTATTGAAAGTGTAAACTGTTATCTAATAAATTAATCCACAGATATTTGCAGTGTTAGAGGAACAAGCACACAACTTGTATGGCTTAATGAGAACAAGATGTTATAAGCTTAGAGAAAACCTGTCAGTAGACAAGTCTAATTTTCAGATTTTCCTCTAGAGTACTGGTCTGGGAAAGATCATTTAAACAAGCTCTTAATATTAAGGACTTTATAGTTATAAAACTGTTATTGGAGGCATAACTCTGTCTTTTGGTGCAAGTTCAAGCTGATGGTTATGGCACTTGCCTATCTAACATTGCTTTGTGAAGTCAGTTTTTAACAAGTTTAATACTAACCAGTCAAAAGCTGTCTCCTTTAACCAGTATGAGGTTACCATATACAGTATATTACCCTTTTAATGTTCTGTTTGCATAAATTTTGTTGTGTCTTATGAGGAAGTTCATGGTGCTCTAACAGGTAAAGGGAGTATTGTGCGGTGTTTCCTGATGGACAATGAAGGGTACTTGGTGGTGCATCCGTCCATGTTGGCACCTTCCTCCTCACCCAACCTTGACTCTGACATACCACCCCATATCACACACCAGGTGAGTCACAGGTTATGGAATTTCTCAGCAGACATGGTTGTCTCTATACTCCACTTGACTATAATGGTCCTTGTAAATAACACCTTCTTTCACCAAGATGCCTATCCATAGTGGAGACCAAAGGTTAAGGTCATGAAGTCACTTGGTAAAGTGTCCTGATTCACCATGACAGAGATATGTGGAAAATGGCTGTAAAATGGTGATGATGATGCAATGTTATAAACTTAAGCTTCTTCAGTTTTAACTTATTTGTCTCAAATTTACGGTGAATGTGGATGAAAAACTAGGCAAAAGTAATCCATAGGTATTGTAGATAACTTGATTCAGCACTCAAATTAACACATTTTAACTTTAGCTAACCCCAGTGTAGCCTAACCTACTCTGAATTTAACATGACCTTAACTGTTTGAAACCTAAAGTAAACTTAAATTAAACCTAACCTAACTTAATATAATTATCCTAACTTCTCTAAATTTGAAATAAGTTCACCTAAATTTGAGTTTTTATTTACAGTGTCTAATTTAAACTAAACCTAATTTAATCCCCAGGAGCCAGTTGTGTCCATGGAACTGCTGGCAGGAGGTGGGGGTTTACTGACCAAGACATCTTGTGGTCGCTGGTGGCACGGGGTCAGTGAGAGGCATTACTCCCTCAGTCTTCCTACTGGGCAGGTTGTTGCCTCTTCAGGCTCAGAAACAGGACAGGTAAGACCCCTGTTTACAAGAACAAATCGAGAGAGTCCTTTTATGAATGCTTTAGTAGGATGACTGGTAACAAGTGCTCTATGTAACCAAAGTTCTATTGATGTAGGTACTGTACATACTGTAAATCAGGGAACAGATCTCATTTTTCTTTCTTGTCCATTTTAGTTTCATTTTTTCTTCCTCCTTCCTCTTTTTTCCTGCTGCTATTTCAATCTTCCTCTTTTGCTCCTCTTCTCTGCCTCATTTATATTACTTCAAGTTTCTTCCTCTTCGATCTTTTTCTTGTTTTCTCTTCATCTGCATTTTTCTTCTTTATCTTCTATTTTTATTCTTTCTTTTCCATCTCTTCCAATTTTATTTCTCTTTTTTAAATGCAAAAAGAATATAAAAGTACAGTAATGATAAATAAATGTATACACCTAACTTGATGTGCCTTTCACACAAGGGAAGATGTAAAAATTATTACTCACACTGCGTATCAGGTTTTGGGTGAGCAGGGTGGTTCATGCCATCTCTGTCTATCTATGTATCTAGCTAGCACTGTAATCTTCTTTCTATAAGCTGTGTATGTTGGTAATATAACTTGAGATTGGAAAGAGTTACAATGTTCTGTTTTGATATACTGTATGCTGTACTGTATTTACAATAACAACTAGAACTGTTGCATTTTTTAGTTAGAAAGTCAAATTTCACAGTTTTGAAAAAAGACAATATCCAGTCACTCTGCCTGAACTGATATTGTAGCTGAGTTTACTTTTTAATTTTCTCCAGGTTGACAACTCGTGTCTGCAGTATGCTCTTACAGCTGTGCCCTCTACCAACCTCATTCTGGGTATCATCAACCAGACCTGCACTCCAGCCGTTGCATTCTGTCCTTGTAGCATGGTACAGTATACACATAATTTATAATTTTTATTTGTATTTTCATAATATAATGTCAGCATATTAAACAGTCAGTCCCCTTATACACCTGCCAATATGTCTGTTTTCTAATGATACCACATATCCGAGTGAATATACGTGTGCTGAATCTATTTGTTCTGAAACTCCACGAACATTTTTCATTACGTATTTATGCTTTACTGAAATTAAATAATAAGCTTTATGCAATGGGAATAGGGTTAAAAAAATTAATTATCAGAATATTTAACGATGTCAGGAATCTAGGTAAGAAATCAGATGAAATTAAGGCGAGTTGCAGTTGCCCTCCAGGAATTGAGGTGAAGCTAAGTCAAATTGCTTGTATTTTACTATTCTGTCATTACTAAAGGCAATGATGGGTAAAAAAAGAAATAGGGGTAATTTATAACTTGGGTTTTTGGGGAAATTATTGTTTGCTTAACATACATCCAGTTACCATACAGGTTTTCAGGAATGCATCATACCATATTTCTTTGTATAAAATTGGTATTTCTTCTTCTACTATATCAAATGAATATGTTATGATCATTGTATTACAAACTCCCTGTGGAGCTTTCACCTTTTAAGTAACTTTGACATTGTCTATGTCCCAACATGACTTCAAAATCTTATCTGTGGGATATGTCCAGAAGTTTGACCACCTTCCCATATCTGTTGTGGGATATATCTGCCATGAATGAATATTAAATGTTTGCTATCACACTTTATGGAGAAGTGACTGGATAGGTCTTCCTTTTTTTGGATAACAAGGCAGGGCTCTAGTGGTACTTCTTACTTGAGCTTGCAGAAGCATCAGCTTTCAGTTCATAGTCTTAAAGAGATGACATTTTGAGAGACAGAGGATGTTTTGTGACAAAATGCTGGATTATTAGGAGACTTTGTTACTACACACACAAGTTGGTGACTCCCTTTTGTTAAAATATTGACCTGCACATGGGTGGCAAACTTAAAGAGGTCAGTGGTTGGAAGTCAAGTCTGATTAAAATTAGTCTACATTGATGCCTGGGATGGTTTGAATCACAGTGTAGGGATCATGATCATTTAGGGGACTATTGTCTCAGAAATTGAAAATACTGTAATATTTTATTCTATTTTACAGGATGACAGGCGCTGTCTTAACTGTCAACTGGTGGAGGCTGGAGCATGTGAATGTCCCTGTGAGTGTCCCCTGTTGTCACACCCATGTACAACTTCTGTAGCTGCTGATCCCCCCACTGCCCAGTCACCAACTTCTCTAGGCTCCCACAGTAATCACACAAGTGACTCACTTAATGAGATTTGGCCTTCATATTTTGACACAGGATTCACTAAAGGCCAGCTCATACCTCAAGTCCTGGAATTGGCCACACAACCACCAGATATGGCCCCCACTTGTGGCCGCACCCCAGAAACTGCCTTGCCACTTCAGTATTCTATTGGCCTGCTAGCCCACCTTGATACATGTGTTACTGTATCATGTGCAGCATATATGACACACAAGTCTTGCTTGGGTGTTGTTGGATGTGTTTGGTGTTCTATGACAAGTGATAGACAGTCACGTATGGCTCACCCACATTGTACAGAAGCACATCAGTGTTATGGGGGTGTTCTTGGAGGGCCTTCACCTTATCCCCATGGACTTGCAACTCTCCCACATTCAGACACCACTCATGGTGGATCTGGAAACCCTATTGGACCAGGTAAGGAGTTAGATAATTCTTTTTTGGTTTAAAATTAAAAATCCCATTTACCCTTTTCACCATATTCTGCTCATTAAGGCACTGTTGCATTCTATATGTCTATTCCCAAAACTTCTACAGCATCCTGCACCCCCCATCCTTCTACTTCCTCTTTGGTTTTCCCCTTTCCCTCCTACCATCTACCGTGTATGTTCATACTCTCGTTTTACCAATCTTTCACTCCCCATTCATCCAGTGGCTATTTCTGTGCCTCTTGAGCAAACCCTAATCCACTCTCTGCTCAACACTCCTTTCACTTCCACATATCTTTTCCATTTCTTTATTTCTCATTCTCATCCCTGTTTATTGCTCTCAAACTCGTCATATTTGTCACCTGTAATTTGCTCTCTTCTTGTGCATCCAGAGTCCGGGCTTCTTACCTATATGATAATCGGCCATTTTTTTAAACATTCGGGTTACTTATTAGTAACCCAAAAGCGCCCTCCGAGCTGTAATCCATTTTTTTTAAACAAATTTTGTCGTGTTACCATTTGTTAGTCCGACAATATTATTGAAAAGTTCGGAATAAGTCCTTGGGTGTGGGTAGGCACCCGAAAGACTTATCCCGAATGTTCAAACTGGTTATATATGAATAGAAAACGTCTCTGAAATACAATATATGTAAATTAAGATGAGATAATAAAGAAAACAAATATTTAAATGTCCTAATAACCGGTTCCAATGGAAATATATATATTTTTAAGAGACCGCCGTGTACCCCCGTGACGTCGTACCTTCAACTCCGAATATTTTTCGTCTCCCCATCGCCCTTCTCCAATTTTATCAAGCATTGCATTCCTACAATCATCCTCTTATAGCTTCAAGTATGGTAAGTAACGCACTTTTGTTTGTGATAGATGTAATTCATTTTCTAATTCGCCAATATATTATATAGGGAAGATATAGGATGAGCCAAATGTACTAGGGAGATGCTGAGGTAATAGTTTACAACAAGTGTCATCTGTGACCCTCGCTAATAATTACCCTAGAAAAAATTTCTCCTGCTATATTTCACTGTTTGGGTTGTTGTTGTTCCGGTTGTGTTTAGGTACTACCAATATTTTAAAGTTTAGATTAGGTTACGTAAAATATTTTTTTAGAAGAAATGTTCAAACTCAGGGTTAGAATAAAGTGCCCAAATTGATTAATGATGTTTTCAATCACTCGATTTAAATCGTGTCAGTCCTATCTTACATCACTGGAACAACAATAAACAAAAGTCAAATATACTATGGACAAATTTCTTAAGGAAATTCTCTGTAATAGCAATGTAATACGCTTGTAAACTATTATCAAAAGTAATTTACCTAATATACAATAGTTACCGCAAAATATAGATAATAGATATTAGATTTTGTTTTAGTTTTATCTTCTTCACGGCTCGTGTTCTGCTTTGATTTTGGTGCGCGGATGACCTGTTTATTTACATTTATCTTGGATAAGGCGTACCAACCCTCTCGAGTTGTGGCGTTTGGGTTACTAAATAGTAACTCTATGTTCTGGATTGATATTCGAGTTTGACGAATTCATTTGTCGGGTTGCCGTTTGGCAACCCGACATTCGGGATTGCTCTTCGGGCTTGCTGTCCCGAGTGTTTAAAAAAATGGCCGAATGTCAGTCCAACAGTTCTCCAACACTTCCTCATCTTGCCTCCTTTGCTACATTTTTCTCCATACATCTCCCAGTTTACTCATTACTTTCTTTTCCTCCATTATCTTCATTTGATGTCCCATATTATATGAATTTAAATTTTTTTTTAAATATATTTATTGATCCAAACTTTTAGATAAAATATTCAAGATTAGTTTAGGAAAAAAATTGGTGTTTTTATCTTAATTAGAACTGCAAATTAATAAAAAACTTTGCTAGCCATAAATATTTTTGCTCATGCCTGCAGTCTAAATGTAATGGGAGAGTGTTTGTCTGTGCATGATGGGGTGATGAGATGTGTAGTTTAGTCTTGGAAACTTTTCCCAGTACAGTATCCAGAAAAATTTGTGGGATGTGGGATTTTTTCTGGGTTTGTTACCTGGAAATCTCTCATCCTCGGAAGAGCTGTGCACCAATTGCTCCGGCTAATGGGGATATCGCTCTGCAGTTCTACCATTTATTAGTACAAGCATACCAAGTACCTCTCTATATATGTTGGATGTATGTTCTTGAAGTATGTGATGTTAAGTGAAACAATGTTCAGTACAGTGAAAAATATCCTTTCCTTCACATGAAAGGAAGAATGTGTGTGTGGTTAGCATGAGAAGTATGATGATGAATGGCAGTGAAACTTGGAGAGTTAAGGAGGTTGACATACACAGGCTTGAGTGAACAGAAATGAGAATGGTGAGGTGAATGTTCAATGTGACACTGAAAGACAGGAGGACTTGTTCAGAGCTAAGAGGGCAGCTGGGTATTGAGAATATTAGCAAAGTTCTGCTTACAGGCAGGTTGAGATAGTTTGGGCATGTGGAAAGAATGGATGAGACCAATTGGGTCAGAGCTGAATGAGCCTAAATGTGGAGGGCGGAAAGCCAGAGGCAGGCCAAGAATGACATGTGGAGTGGTTGCAAGAAATGCATTAGAGCTAAGAACTTGACATGCATGACTGCAAGAGACTGTTCAGCATGGAAAGCTCCCATCAGGGAATTATGGCTAACCCTTGCAAGTATGGAAAATAACTGTAAAAGATTGATGATGATAAATATATGAGTTGAGACATTAATTCTTGACCTAAATGCATTGTTAACCATATAGGCAACCATCATAATGCTGGACACCTTAAAAGGCTCCTGCTATGACTGGGTGATGAACTATTTTACAGCATTTCACAAGAATAGTTAGCAATACCCCTAAATAATCATACCTAATGACACCTAGTAGGCTCTGCCATGGGCTATTCAGTGTGGAAGGATCTCTCAGAACACTCACCTTAGGGTTTAGCCATAAATGGAATTTTAATTTTCAGTCTTTCGTATCAAGTGTTTGTGCTTTTGAGGGCAATTTCTTCATCCTAATTCATACAGTATTTTGCAAATGGTTTCTGAAGGATCATTACATACAATGTACTGTAAGTGCATTTTTTTATTCTTGCAAGCTTTTTTCTGTTGTGATGAATATGCTCAGTGAACTTCTGTGTTGCAGTGGCCGGAGGGATTATGGCAGTGTTTTTGGTTGTTGCTCTGGCGGTGTATTGCTACCGTCAACATGTTGGAGGCAGCAACCGCTCCCTCTACACCCCAGCAAACTTTCAGAGCCAAACACATCAACATCCTTTGTACCAGTCACAGCCAACTCACCAACTTGATAATGGGGATGAAGATCTTTTGGGTAAGTTAAACTTTAGAAAGAATGTGTGGTTGATATTTAGGTTAACGAGCATCTGTGCGTAATAGAATGTAGATGTGTTTTTTTGTGTGTGTGTGTGTGTGTGTGTTTGTTTGTTTGTTTGTTTGTTTGTTTGTTTGTTTGTGCCTATGAGATTTGTTTGAGTGTCTTTGGGCAAGTTTATCTCAGGGAGGGTGAAAATGAGAGTGAGAGATATTCATTGATAAATTCATTAAATTCTGTCAATGGTGCTTGTATTATTGTATGAATTTTAATGGAGGAGATTGATAGTTTAACCATGTTGCATACAGTACAGTATATGAAAAATGATATACTGTACTTGAAATTTTAAGAGAACAAAACTTGCATCAGCCTAATATCTGTTTAATTCCAGGAGATGTTTCTGGAGTAGGATTGGGAGCTGCTGCCACAGTTAGCCCTTACCGCATGAACCCTGGATATCGTCGCCCTCCAGGTGTGGCTGACTCCAGTGATCAAGGCTATTCTACAATGACTCCTCACGATGAGTCTGAGAACCTTAATTACACTGATTTAGGAGGGCTTGTGGGCCTCCCAGCCAATCACATGCTTGATGACCCTCCCTCATCCTCTGGCTGGTCACCACCTTCATCTCCAGTACGCCAGGGCAGACACGATGGTAGAGTGTCCAATCACAACCATTTGGAGCCCTCCCATACACTTTTGTCTTCTGCCAAGCGGACAGGGCCAAATATTATTCAAGTGCCAGTTACTGTACATATGGTTGACACTGTATGAGGCCACTTGTGTTATTTACTCTGGTGTAGCATGTAGATATTGCCAAATGACTTCAGGGGATGAGATGTAGAAAGTTATTAAATTAAAAAGGAAATTTTCAATCATGGAAATTTATCTATAGTAAGGAGATACATTGTTTACATCAGTGGACAGTTGTCCTGGCTCAATAGACCCTTGAACAGTATTACACAGAATTTATACTTGTAAGTGTCCACTGTAGCTCATATAGATGGACGACTGCTGGACATACAGTAAGCTCTGTACGAAAGCATGGCTCTCCAGGCCTGGAAATTCATGAAAAATACTTGACAGTCAAATTAGAGGAGGGGCATGGGACAGTAGTCACAAAGAGGGTGTTTTTTTGTGAAGAGCAGCATTGCCAGTCAAAAGGCAATGATGGCCAATTGGCCATGGCCGCCTTGAAATTCCAAGCCTGGCTGTCTTATCCAGAGTTTGCCATAGTTCCATTAGTGCTTTAAGTGAGCATGTGTGTATAAGGTACACAGAGTGTTTTACCTCGTGGAATTCTAATATTTTTAGAATAACTAATTTTAATGCTAAGACTTGTACAGTTGTAAGACATACGTAATATTAAGCTTTTATAAGAATTATAATTTTAGATACTCTAAGTATGACCTATCTAGTCTATAACTGCAGCTAATGCATGGTGTGAAGATTTGACCTGGTCTTGACACTGAAATGAACCACTGAGAAAGTAATGCATGTTTTTAGGAAAAAAATCAGAACCAAAGATGATAATACACAGGTATCATAGCAACCATCCAGTTTTAGACATTGAACTTCATGTATTTTATGATAGTATGTTGTGAAATTGAATACAGTCCAAAATTCCATTACCATACAATAGTTTGTGATATTTCTGAAGATATAATTTGAAGTTGTACAGGATTGTATCATACTAACACTAAAATTGAAGCAAGGTTTGGCCAACTTTACACAATCCACCCTCCACCTTCCATATTGCAACCAGCCTGCCACCCTTCATCATTTCACAGCTGCCAGTTTTGGTGAGTACAATAACTATAGGATTTAAAAAAAGTGAATGAAGACATTGAGTCTTTGGAGTAGTATGGTTTGCAATCATTAAAATTCCTGTGTTTTAGATGTAAGTACAGAAGGGTGAGGTGTTTTTGACCACCATATTAGTGAGAAAGCGATAGGATTTTTTCTTTCTTTTTCTGTATAGTGACCATTGTATATTATATACTGTTAACTGTCGATCATATTGTTTAACATATTTTCTTTTTTAATTGTTGATTTGATATATTTACTTCATCCTTTAGTCGGTAATAAAAAAAAATCAAAATATTTCATCAGGGTTTGAGGTACGATAAATTTAATATACAGTACATGTACTGTGCTGAGATGGAGGTTATTGTACTTTTGTAAAATATTGGATGGTTTCTATATTGATTTTTTCCTGCCTAATGTTGGGGTAATCAAAATATTCCAAGATTTGGTTGCTAGTAGTTAGTTAACTAGAAGATATGATTCATGATGTCATATGATCCTATGTATGCTAGTAACTCAGGCAGTACACTTACCATCATTCCTTTGGGACTGATCCTTATCTTATTCTTATGTAATGACTAGCAAATATATTTTTGATAATTTTTAGCTGGTGGACAGTTGATGATGTTCTTCATTCTTTCTGTATAAACACTGGTTTATCTGCATAAGTGCCATGTGAGGGGGTGTAAGATATATGAAGTTTTACATTATATATTAGTTCTGCATTGGTTTTCTCAAGAACCCACCAAGTTTTCTGCAAAGGCAATGCCGTGTCATAAGTGAGAAATTATGCAACTTGAAAATGAACTTACTTGACTTTCTGCATGTTGTGGGTAGGCTTGGTGGAAGGTTTTTGTCTGCATATTGCAGAATGTCATGTCTCCTATCTGTAGTCCATTTTATATTTTGTTTCTTGCATAAGATGATAGAGTCATCTTTGTGTTTAGGTCAAACATACTTTATATTTGTAATATGACATTTTTAAATAGCATTTTTCTTAGAAGAAATTTGTGTTACCAGATTGCCAGTTAGCTGCAAATTTCAATACCTAGAAGATTTACCATAACATGAATGACTAATTTGCCCCCCCCCCCAAAAAAAAATGTAACGAGAAAGAAATATAAATTATAACAGTATAGTTTTGTTACCCACTGACTTCCACTTCAATTGAGTAATCAACTGAAGCAGATGCCATTGGCCACACCAAAATTTTATTGTTGTATTCAAAGTTTGTCACATAATGTGAGTTTAATATATAGAAATGTATGTTTGAACAATTTCCACCTGTTGAGCTCCCTTAAAAAGGTCTTGATATATGTGGGTATGAAAATGGCCAACTTCTTTGAATTTTAAGAGCTTGAACCTCAAAAAATAATTACATTTTACATAGTAGCACAACTTGTAGTTGTGAGGATCATGCGGAATGAAGTTGGTCTGTTCACACCTCTTCATGGCAGGTGTTATGAACTTCATTTTAACTTGGATATGTGTAGTTTGTAGCCTTAAAATGTAACAATGATTTATGGTACACTGCTTCTCACCTGCTTATTAGACTGTGGTGGTAATCTTCCTTTCTTCTGTACTCTCACTCTGAACAAGCATTGTGTCATTGTCCTCCCACTTTGACAAGCTTTCTCTTTCAATGGACTCTCATTCTCTTTATTGTTACTCTTGTGATGGACTTATGGGAGGTACATATGACAATGTGCCCTTTGAAGGGCAATATAAATGACAAATTACATATGTATAAGGTAAGCGTGCCTGTTACACCATGAAAAAGAAAAAAAAAGATGTGTACCGTATCATATAGCTGTGTAATAAGATGTGGGGTATGTACCCCTACAGATAGAATTGTCAGTTGTATTAGGAGGGAAAGATGTAAGTGAGTAAGGTCTTTCATAAACGAGCAGTATGATGAGTGAAAGTGTTCACTTGGAGATGGAGACAAACATGCTTTCTCCATGATGACTGTGTGTGTACTGAGGCATGGATAGGAGTGCAGGGATGGTGTAAGGGTACGTACACCTTCATTGAGGACCACTATATTGGTTTTTTGCAGCTATAAAGTTAATATGGAGTAAGAGATTGGGAGCAAGAACTGAGTAATGAGAAACTCCAGCATTGATGAAAAAGTAGTGTGAATGTGTACTGTTTGTAGTTGCATAGATGAGGAAGATGGAGAGAAAAGGGGGGGGGGATTAAGGGAATAGAAAATCAGGGAACCAAAAGATGGACATTTGGCACAGGTAGCCTAATGACAGAATTGTCAGAAACTTTTGGTATATCCAGGCTCAAGGGGCAACAGGATGAGATTCACTGAAGTTGTGAAGAGGACAGTTGAGGTTAGGAGTTAGGAGAACACACAGGTCTGCAGTGGAATAACCAGAATGGAAACCCACCTGCCTGTTTAAGAGTTGTTTAAGAGATACGGTACAATAATTGAATTTGCAAGGAGAGGATGGATCACTTGTTTTGGGAATAGGCCGAGTTAAAATAGGGTCACGTGGACCCAGTCAAACTATCTCTTACTGTCATTGTACTCTTATGCTGACTGGCTCTCTGTATTTATCTCATCCTGACAAGCTTTTTGCCTGTATGTCTCTGTATTCTAACCCTAACAAGCTGTCTCATCAAGCTTTCTGTCTGTCATTGTACTCTAACCCAGACAGGACTTCTCTTGCATTGGTTTCTCACTGATGAGCTTCTGTTGTCATTGTAAGCTCACCCTAACAAGCTTTCTCTGTATGTCATTGTACTCTCCCTGTGACAAGCTTTGTTTGTTGTGCAATATCACAAGCCTTCTCTGTCTTTTGTAACATGTAATATCCTCTCTCACATTCTAGAGAGGGGACTCTGGTAGGCTAGCAGCCTGTCAGTTTGGTAATTTTTTGTTTTCTACCCTGCCACTGGACCAGAGTTGTCATGGGAACTAGTCTGTTGTGGCCTGGCCTTTCTGATGCACTAACCGCCCTACCACCAAGGCAGTCTTTATTTTTATGTCTCAGCTTTTTGTGTTCTATACCAAGCACTTCAAGTATGGTAAAATATTGGAGCTTATGGCAAGAATATGTATTAAACATTATATTTTACCGTAGTTAAAAATTTTAGTAACATGAAGGATATAAGATAATGAGAATTTTTTCCCATCGAGTAGGGTACAGTACAGTATCTTTTTTAGAAATCTTGTATATGTAGATGTGATAATGGTGAGATGGTTAGTGTAAATCTAAGTGATAGGCGGGGAAGTCCTTTGGGCAATGATTTAAAGAAATTAAGTTCTTACAGTAGTAAATTAAAAGAGTAGATTTCCAGTCTGTGATCTTAGATGGAGAATCACAATGTTAAGTATTCCATAACAAGACAACTATATTCAAAACACCCACTTGTGATGATTTTTATAATGGCAATTGCTGCCATGGGTCTGAATAGCTCTTGTTCTCCTGTAATTGTGTCCTGCTGTTGACTTCTGTGAGATAAAGTGAAGATGAATGGATTTGATATTACTGTACTACTATAGCACTGATTTATAGATGTTCCCTGACTCATGGTCAAGCTACACAAGTTTGTCCTATTCCAATTTTTTTTTTCAAGGTACGAGTATACAGGTATTTTATTATTTTGCGTTCAATTGAATGAAACATTGGACAAAGAGAATGTATGTTCCTTTAAACCATTTATTGGGAGTAAGTTGAATGTTTAATGGTGAATTTCATTGAATTACAGTACAGTATATGTTTAACATCAGTGTGTGGTGGAAAGGGAATCCTTCCCTGCATATTGTGTAATGATTCAAGAGACTTAAATTGAAAAGAAACACACACAAAAATTGTGGTATTCCTTATGGATAGCCTATGTGATAAAAGTTGCCATATACAAGTTGACAGCCATTTTACAGTACAGGTATTGGCTGTTTTCTACTCTTCACTACCTTGTCATAGATCATTTATAGTATGTTAAAGGAAAATTTGAAGAACTGTGTGACTAACACATTCCGAAATGCAGCTCATTCAAATCAGGAACTGTAAAAGTAGACATTTTAGTCAAATATTTTATATGATTTACATCCCTGATCTTAATATATATATAAAAAAAAGTCACAGGTTCTGCATTTCTTCAGTACTTGTAGTACAACCCTTAGCTTTTAAACAAGCAAGAAGGGATAGCAAACAATATCTTGAATGTTGTCTTAATATTTAAGAAGTATGGTGGTGTTCTATGTTTGGCCACTTCTATCACCCACTCAGCTCAAAAGTAAAATATTTTGTCCTATGTAAAGGTGACAGTTTAGGAATAACAAGAGTAGGTAGATATTTAAATGAGGATAAATCAAATGTAAACATCTTTTAATAACAGCTCCACAAAGTTCCATTAGAAATATTGTATAGGTTTCTAGAGCATTTATAATTAGGCATCCCTTAAGTAATGTTTCCCACAAGTCATATCTACCAGTGTAGTTTATGAATAATAACAAATTTACAGTTGTAGAAAAAACGATATTTCACCTTTTAATGAATGGGCTATTTAATTAATATAAATTTTGAGCCTCCTCCATAGAACCATTAATTCTTACATTAAATTTTGGTCTTTCATCCACAGGCTTATTTATATTCTTTCTCCTGAAATGCACTTTGATCTTGTATTTTCTTACATGTTGCCAATACTTTACAACATTGCTCTGTAATCTCATTCAGCTGCCAAATTAGATTTGTTAATGCATCATCACTTACAGCATTTACAATATCTACACATTAGGACAGAGCTCTCTGGATATCTCCATCACTGAAAATGCTTAGCTAATGTGACACAGTGTAGGTCAGTGTACTGTAACCCAAGATTTTAGAATGTTCCTTGATTCACCAGGTGTCTTACTTGATGCTTATATAGGAAAATTTAATGTCTTGGGTTGAAATAATAAGTAAGGCATTGTAATTTGCTATAGAGACGTCCTTAGTGTGAATCAAATACATATGAATTTTATAACATTGTTATGAATCTTTCATCGTTACATATCAAATTTTTTTTTAACTTGAAGTTATTTCCCCCCTGTGTCTCAATGATTACCTTGTTTCCAGGAACAGCTTGCACTTTGAATGCATTCCCCATCCATGCCTGTATTTATTCAGTGGTATGTTTGTCCGGATCAACAAAATCTTCCATTATATTTAGTTGTACTGTACTGTACTGTATTTTCATGCTTTTTTTTTCTGGACAGTTTCGTTTGCTGCACAAACATAGCACCAATTAGCTGCACAATATTTAAGGGAGAAAAGAAAAAAATTGTTGTCCATCAATAATTTAGTACAGTAGTTGTAGCCATCATAAACATGTAAAATTCAATATACAGGCAGTCTCCGACTTACGACTGGGTTAGGGACCCAAATCCAGGTCATAAGTCGAATTGGTCGTAAGTCGAAAATGCTTAAATAATACATAGAAAATCTAAAATGGGTGTCTCTTTTTCTTCTCAGCACCACAAAACTCTTACTTTTAAGCTTGCCAGCCATTTTAAAGGGAATTACAAAAGAAAATTTTGTCAGTACACATCGCAATCACTAACGTCGGGACTCGAAAATACGTAATTTGACAAAATTTTGGTATGACTGAGGAGGTCGTATGTCTGGGGAGGTCGTAAGTCGAGTGGGTCGTAAGTCGAGGAGTACCTGTACACACACACACACACATATCTGATTATGGTACAGTACAGTACAGTATAGTACTTGTTTCATCAAGGGTCATTATCCCCCCCCCCCGACTCTATACTTCATACTCTGTTACCTGTTGATCTAGGATTGTCTGTCTATCATTCTTGTTCTACATTTTCTGCTGTTATCTATTAATCTCTCTTTGTCTCTATTGCACTTACTGTATTTTACACTTCCTGACACAAATGTATCTACAATATTTTTCAAGTGTGTTGTTATGTATATTCATGGAAATATTTTAGTACAGGATACTGTATAGATTTCTAACTCCCAGTTGAACTGAACTAAGTCATGTTATTATATCAAGGCACTTTCCATTTGCTGGTCATATCACAAATAATTTGTTGAGAACTTTTTATCTCGTTCGGCCGGATTCACTGAGATTCCATACGCTAATAATGTCTCTTAACTGGTGTTCAGAGAATGCAGTATGTAGTTAAAGCAATGTTTTTGTATCCCCAATTAAATGAAAAAATAACATATGAATCTTTGAGAATGTGGCACCTGTAATATTTTTGTACATTGTTTAGGAAGTTCAGGATTTGTGAAATATCTTGTAGATTTTGCTCAAATTTAGTGTCGTGCTGTGTCAAATTGGAGTTATGTGCCATATTATGTAGAATTTGCCTATTCACATTATATATATATATATATATATATATATATATATATATATATATATATATATATATATATATATATATATATATATATATATATATATATATATATATATATATATATATATATATATACTACAGTGGGGTATGCTATAACGAATCTAATTGGTTCTAGAACCTCATTCGTTATAGCATTCGTTCGTTATAGGATTAATCCGTCCCAGGCCCCCAAATACAACCACTTAACACTGAAAAATTTCTGTGGAAATTGTAAAAAATACGATACTTTATCTTACCTTAGTGTTGTTCAGCATGCAGGACAGGAGGGGGAGGGGGGAGGAGAGAATTATGGAGAAGAGGTGGAAGGAGAGAAGTCATCCTTCCTAGCCCTCTTTGGTGACTGTCTTATAGGCACTTTGTCTGTAGGGTCTTTTGATACTTTTTAAAGAAGGAATCC